TAATTACAATATTCGTTAAAGTTTCTAGAACAATCACACGTGAAGTACCTCGATGCATTCAAATGTTACCAATTTTCTGACTATCCAGGAAAAGTGACTTACTCGCCGGATGTTAATAAGGGGTTGCGTGACAAGCGTCGATATTTACAAGATCGTGACTTTCTGTTACGGGAATTGTGGAAAATGATTCATGTTTATCAATTTCTGGGTATTGAACAAATTTAGTCGCCTACACAAGGTCACTCATTTCGCAAATCGTGTTTGCAATTAGCAAAGTCTAGGTCAAACGCACTCACGCTAGCTTAACGTTCAGTATTTCCGTTTACGCATCGCATTGTACACCAGGTGTTTTAAAATAACAACAATACTAATTTGGCAATTTTATCGGGGTCCTCTACATTCTTTCCACGGTCGCAGAACAGCAACGGAACGATTTGTTTAAATAACGTACTTACTGGAGTAGGGGTAGGGTTTCTGGACGAAAGATTTTCTTTCGGGAAATTCCTGGTCTTGGTTCACAGACAAGAATGTTCAACAAATGACTTTTTTCTTGATTTCTTATACATTAATTAACATGTGAATAATACAGTTTAGTTCTTGTCAGTTGTCGTCCACCCTGGGCGTCAAAACATATTCAATTAACAGAATAATGCAGCTTCACATGAGTTCTGAGATAAAGCTCACATTCTTAGACAGACGGGCGGAATTTCGCGTATGACACAGGCGTCATGGAAAATTAGTAAAAAATGTGTGATGACGAATGGTCCAGATAACATTGCTTTTATTCTATCTGTTGCGCAATTTTTAACATCTTATCGTTTTTCGAACGAAACTTTTGAACAAATAAAAGTTTTACTCTACCAACTTAACCTCGGCTTTAACCAAAGAGAGAGGGCATAAAAATTACGTCTTCCCCATGAAAGTGTATTGTCACTTTTTCGACGAAATTTGTAAATAAGTGAAGAATTCACTCTTTAACGTCGAGGTAGAGCAACATTTTCAATTATTTACAAATTTCATTGGAAAAACTACAAAACCCGTTGACTTCATGGCGAGGAACTAAATGTTATGCAATTTCTCTTTGGTTAAGGTGGAGATTAAGTGGGTAAAGTCTACAATTATCAACCAATTTCGTCGGAAAAACGACAAAACACTTTAATTTCATGGGAGGAACTAAATTTTATATCAAATTTCACCACCCTCGTTTTTACCGTTTGTCTACACACGAACCCATCAATTGTAATTTACACCCTGTAATTAAAACGTAAACATCGAGCTGTAATAAATATCTAATAAATGAAATGGTACCTATTAGGGCCTATTTGTCCTTAGTTAACATCGACAAAAATCCACCTACCTTCTTTATAACAATTCAATAATATTATGAGTTAAAAGGATTTTAAGCTGCAGCTTTTACGCACCTGTCATTTTTTTTTGTCAATGTTCCCTTCTGACACTCGGTTATTGAAATATTCGTTTACTTTTATTATTTGATTTATCCTGACTATTTAAACCTATTCCGCCAGGAGAAATTGGAGAAAGCCAATCACTGAATGAGATTTCCAAAACGGAAAAGGTGCTTCGTTATGGTTGAAATTGTAACGTTCGCCGTGATGAGGGGTGGATGTTCCGCCAGGGAAATAAAAAAAGAAATAAATTGTGTGGTAAACATGTTCGTTAACTTACTAGCATTCGTCGACTTTTGTATATAGCAGCACATGGTGCGTTATCCCCAAAAATATCGCTTCACACCATAAAAATCCCCGTCAAGTCTTCGGACCAAAAAAGTTGTAAAATCTTGTTTGGTCCCCGCCTCATATTTAATTATACTCTCTCTTCATTTGTATAAGTGATTATAGGTTAATCGTCATTAAAGATTGCCCCTCAGGAGTACAACTCCATTTTTTCTACTTTTTATGGTTTTTGAGCTACAATAGCGTGCTGTTGCGTATAATATCTAGTGCACACTTTTACTTTTAATAACTCATAACAAAATGCTTACCTCGGTGCTTATCATTGCTTTCTTACTGTAGTGGTAAATTTTGAGGTTGATGGGTTTTTATCAGGGGTGTTAGTTGCACGAAAGAATGACTTTACCAGAATACCAGATAATAGCATTGATTGCTACATCCAAACGTCGTCATTTGAATCTCGACCTCCTCTTCTTTGTTGACTTCATTGAAACACACAGGAAACGAAGTCACACGTATTCGGGATTTTCCTGAGGTTGTTCCCCCTTGAATCAGGTTTCCCCATTGATTTCAACGTGGTGGATTAGAAGTGTCTCATCAAAATTTTATTTAAATTTATTAATTTAAAATTAAAGTTTTATACATTAACTTGAATTTTCCAATTTGTCTACATCAGTTCTCTAAAAATTGACTTTCATTTCCTAAAGCTACCTCCATAAGTTTCTTGAAGTTATTCAGAATCTTTTCACCATCTCCCACAAATATCTCCAGAACTCCCTATAACTTCCTTACAGGTTTTTTTCCAATGAAATAAGTATAATAGCATTTACTAATGTTGATTTTTGCTTTCCTCCATGTTTTACCAGAATTCCCTCATTGCTGTTTCTTAGAATATTCTTTTATTGCTTAATCGTTCCCCACAAATTTTTTCATACCCAAAATGTCCTTATAGGTATTTACTCCATCATTTCCATTAATTTTACCAGTTCCTTGCATTGACATAAATTACCCATTTTTTATACGAAGTAAGTATACTACCATACCATTCACCTTTTCCTGTCTCATACTCCCTTTCATACTCTCCCATTTCATCATAAACTTTCGGAAACATTTTTCGTGACACAAAGGAAACAAGGAATCGAGTTTATGTAACGAATTTCCACGTGAGGGTGAGTATTCCGACAAGTTACTCTTATATCTTCAGAATTTAGCTCTAATTTTCTCATACGATGTAAGTATCAACATTTGCGTTTTTACTAAAGTGTCTTGTCCTTATTTTCGCAGAGTGTCATTCTATTTCGAGAATATTTTCTCATAGAACTCAAAATTCACCCTTATTCTCCTAGATCTCTTTGTTTTTGGTTTTCTAATTTGAGCAAGGTGGCTATTGCGATCACCGTTTTTTCCACATGCCAAAATTTAATCAAATGTCTACGATTTAGATCATTTTGTCCGTCTGTATGTATATACGTACGTTGGCCACTTTCCGAGGTAACGGCTCGGCGGATTTTGTTCATAGTTTGAATTTGGCACCTCGTTTTGATTGCTGTAAGGATGTCTTAAGATTTTGTACCTATTTTACAAGAATCCCCTCAGTAAGAATTTCTTCGAAGTTCCCTCATGTGGGTATTCAGGAGAATTCAGGTCAATTTGCCCGCCCCATCCCATAGGTGCTATTTTTGAAAAACAAAAAAACTGTTGGAACCTCTTGTGCTCGTTTGTGCTACTCTGATTCCCAGAGGAACGGCGGACGGGCCAATGAAATGCGGCTCCTGCCCAATCTCACTATTAAAAAAAACCGGTTGTGCTTCGTTTGTGCTGCAACTATTATCGTTTCTCCTTCCCAGAGAACCGGTGGGTGGGGCCAAAGAAATGCGACCCTCGCTTAATCTTACAGTTTTCAAAAAAGTACTGTAATTACTCCTATTGTGCTTGTGTATGCTGCGCTTGTATTCGTTTGTGCAACTCTCCCTCTTATAGAAATGGTGGGTAGGCCCAAAGAAATGCAACCTCCAACCAATTTTGCTATTTTCGAACAAAAAAATCGTGTATGCTTTGTTTGTGTCCATTTGTGTGCCATAATTATTTTCGTTTCTGCTCTCGTTTCTGCTACTTTCCTTGATTGAAAAACAATGAGTGGGCATGGAAATGCGACCTTTTGATTTTTGATATTTCCCCAAAAACGTTGGGAATTGCTTGTGCTTCGTTTATATTGCAATTATTTTGCTCGGCGAAATGAAGTCGATGGAGGTTGCACCACGCACAAATTTTCACCTCATCTCTTTAAATTGTATAATGTAACATTTGTACATATCTCGATGCAAAAGTCCACTCATACTAGACTGTGCAGCAATTAAATTTGAAAAGGCGTAAGGGACTAAATACGAAATCATCGTAAGAATTCTCACGTACAGAAATGTCTCCTTTGCAAATTGTAATTAATAACAAACCAGTTGTATACCTACATAATTTTTGGTAATACAGATCAGTATTTTATTAGTCAAAGTTTAAAATTATCGATCTCACCAGTAATCTAACTCAAAATAGACAAGAGCCTGTATATCTACATTATAGCAGAAAGCTTTCAGTGAAAATGTGAAATCTAGTTTAGCTATTGTAATTACGGAGATCTGAGCCAGCCAGCCATTATTTTTTCAAAAATGCGCTAAAAATAAGGGCGACTTCGTCGGCGTTTGAAATTAAACTTCGTCAACGCAAAATGTTTTATATTTACGGTAATGAGCAACGTGTACGAATTTGTAATGAAGGAGTGGGTTTAAATGAAATACGATTATAAATTCGCTATGGCCGTTTATTAACTTTGCGGAACTCCATTTATACATTTTAAAATTAAGTTATTCGATTGACGAGGTGAAAAACACCAAGCCTCTGGAAGAAGACCTTGTTTATTAATATAGTTTAATTCAAACAAAGTTGTGTATGGCTCATTGCGTTTTTATACTTGGGAGATATTGAAACCAAAAGTGTTGGTTTCAAGTTTGCAATTATTGATTACATATTTCTCTAATTCGGGGATCACATTTTACTTTGAAGAATTGAGCTGTTTCCGATTCGTATTGGCGTTTTTATTTAATGTCTTAATACTAATGATCGTGATGTACTCAGATTACTTAGATCAAATTGAAAGTATGGAAATTGTACACACGATCGTTTCCTGTTATTCAATAGCACTTATCCTATCACGTTTTAAGGAGTGTCTGTCCTCGTTTGTTTTATTGCGTCTACGATTTTTAATCCGCGTTTTAGGCATACACTTTCGGAATAACCCGGCGCCGGCGTCGACAACATAGTTGTCGTATGCTCGATAACAGGCATCGCGATGCCTTTGCGTCGTAAAACGCGAACGAGTTAAAAATATGTAATTCTTTACCGTTCAATTAGAGTGAAGAAAGTCAATAATTTATTACCTACCGTTAATAGTTACATGTTCAATTAAAACAAGTTTAATACGCGAAAATCTGTGACTCGGAATAAGGGCAAATTGCGCAGCCATTGTTGACCTATATCGGGTTATACACCTAATAAGAATAACATGACACATATTTCGAAGTAATTTTGCAGGTGTTGCCAATTAAAGCGACACACATTTATTGAAAGTAAGATGGGATAAAATGTAAATCAGCATGTTTAATTGTTTGTGGAATTTGTGGGATTGGTAAATACAATGTATTTGAGAGTAGTATGATGTATAACACAAATTTTTTGGAGCAGGTTGGATCCCATAAGTATGGAAAATAAGAAAGGGTCTTTCGCAAATCCAAGAACTTCTCCAGCCTCAGAACCAATCGTCAATGAATCAATTCCGAAACATGCACATCAACACAATACCCCGCCGCAACATTTACGCTTATTACAGTACGGATTAAAAATACCAAATCACCAGCATACTCAAATAAATCCATCATCTCATCAACATCAACCATCTCCAATAACACCGCAACCTCATTTACACCACCACCGGTCTCAATCGCCATATCAAAAACATGAAACCAACACACCCAACATAATTCAAAATCAGTTATTTCATCAAATTCACGCTCATCAGTACCCACAAAAGCAGGAGAATCAACAGGGCCACTATCATTATCAAACCACAAATCCGTCGCCGTACGCACACCAGCACAACGTAAATCAGCTACACCAACAAAATGCACAAATATGGGTACCTCATCAACCACCAACGCACTACCACCCTCAACAGCAACAACAAGCGCAAAAATCTGAACCGCAAACTCCCATTCAAAGTTCTAGCCCAACATCACCACAATCCAAGCAGAAACATCTCGAACGCAAAAAAGTGTTGGGGGGTGCCACGCAAAGCAACCGATTTCCTTCGGTGAAACGACCAACAGAGGCCCCAGTCACTATCCAAGGATGGTTACACAAACAGGGCTCCGAAGGTCTAATGCTGTGGAAAAAGAGGTGGTTTGTCCTGTCTGAGTACTGCTTATTTTATTATAAAGGTTAGATAGCTTGTACGCGTCGATTATTTCAGTCATTAAAGGGCACTTTTAGGACCTGGCGAAGAGAAACTACTGGGTTCAATCCTTTTGCCTTCGTACAAAGTTTCAATTTGCGGACCCGAAGATAAAGTCAATAGGAAGTATGCCTTCAAATGCGAACATGCCAATATGCGAACATACTTACTTGCTGCCGACACACAAGAACTTATGATGCAATGGGTACGAGTCTTAAACATGGCTTCTCTTCTACAAAATACTAAGTAAGTTAACTTGTACCTATGTAATTTAAGGTGTTTAATGTGATGCATGTGTCGTTGGGGTTGGAAAACTGTAATTTTTTAATTTGTGGCGATTGGTTGATCCTAACCAAGACTGGTCCACCTCACCAAAATATGTACTACACCTACTTCGACTTCATCGAAGTACTCCTAGCACTTTGACAAGTACTTCGACTACTTTGACTCTGTTCTCGCAGTTCTATGGTACCGGCGCAGACAAAAAAGTCATGTGATGTGCGCATGCGCAAACACCATTGAGCTTCATTTTCATTCATTCATTTTCATTTTGGACGAGTGTAAGTACATTGTTTACATTTCCATGAAATATACATTATTATTTATTATTTATTATTATTTATTACATACTACTTCGTGTACTTGAAATGTACACCTATTTTGACTAGTGGACCAGTCTTCATCCTGAATCGTGATAAAAAAATGTGAAACATGTTACCTACTGTGGATCAATTTCGGTAAAAATATAGGCACAATTTGCTATTGAATCAATTCCCAATAAGTGAATTGGATGCATTTTTCAGTATCATGTCTTTTTTGAGTAAGGCGTGTCCGAATTGCTATTTATGCATCAATTTGGTTGGTGATTCTTTTACATTATGACAATATGATAATACAACGTATAGATAGGTATTGAAAAAGTAGCGAATGAATAGCAGCCAGAGATTCTGTACCTAAACATAGAAAAAATTCCATCTGATCATGGCTAATATCACTGTTATAAAGTAAAGTAGCTTGGCTCCAGACTGGCCCACACCATGAGAAACTCGCTTGTCTTCTTTGTTCCTGAAAACGGGTAACTCTCAAACGGAAGGTCGTAGGGTTTTGAAACTTAATCTTAATTTAGGTTCCTCATGGTCCATCGCGGTTGGAGCCATACTCAACAAACAACGCCGGGAGTATTTCGTCGGAGAATATCGCCTCCATGTTATCGATCACACGACATCAATTGATTTCTTGGTTGACTCAGGTTCTGTTCTTCCAATACTACCTACACATGTCCTTGACAGACCGCCCAAAAAACACTCGGCAACTTCAAGCAGCGAATGGTACGCCCAAAACGACCTTCGGCACTCAAGGACTTACCTTGAATCTCGACCTACACCGACCATTCAATTGGACTTTCATTATCACGAATGTTCAAACTGCCATACTGGGAGCTGACGCTCTTAAACTGATTGTAGATTTTCAACAAGAGAACTCACCGTACGTACTCTTGCTCTTGCCTCACATTTACACACTTTCAACATTGTTTCTCCCCCAATAACCCCAGATGGCACAGTAGGAGACGCTTACAAGCGCATTATTTCTCAGTTTTCCCACTCTGTTGCAACGATTCCCGACCTACCCGTCCAACACCACAGCGTCACCTGCGGACCTCCAATTTTTGCTCGTCCCCGCCGATCTGCAGGTGATCGCTTTAGTGCAGCAAAGGAATAATTCGACCTCTTATTGGAACGAGGCATCATCCGACTATCATCAACCCAGTGGGCAAGTCCTCTGCACATGATTCGAGTATCTTCTAGTACACGGATTTGAGGTTTTCGACCTTGAAAACCTTGGAAACGACGGCACCCATGTCACAAAATTGCTCCTTCATCATGATAGAACAGAAATGATAGGTACTATTTAAGATTATGATAGGAATCAACATACCTATGTATTTTTACGGTATAACTTAATTCATAAATTGTATTTCAGCAAGGTCAGTCATATTGTTATTAATAGTATCCATCCGTCCCTTCACATTTGTGAGCGGCCTGTCCGTAATTTTAAGTAGCTCAATTACTCAATCACCACACTTTTATAGTGTATTGTATTGAACTAATCAAAGAATAATTAGTAACATCAGTGAGAATAATTATTGTGCCTTATTACTTAAGTTTTTTAATTACAGCGATACTGAAGCTCACAGTCAACCATCAATCCCGTCACAACCAACAGAAACTACTATCATAAAGCAACAAGTTCCAAATTTAAGAAACACTCCGACTCACATACATTCATCTAGCAACACTACTGATTTAAGTAATCCCAGCCAGCAAGAACTAAACCAGTATTCTCAACCCCTCTATGCAAATGCTCCTCCTAAACCTAGGCGTCTGACTGATGGATATTCTTCTCCGAGCTTAGAATTGTTAGACAGGTTTTCTGGCGAAACGACTAAATACGTAGGTGTACAGAAAGGGCAACAGTACAATGTTCAACCTATTTATATGACGTTGAGTAACTCTAGCTCCAAATCACCTATTAACCTTTATGGAAATCCTCAATTACACCCTGAATATATATCTAGAACCATTCAGCACCAAATGTATAATAAGCATTTGCATATACCTGACCATGCAGCTGTACACTTGAGAGAGAACCATAATGTGGAGCGTAGAACACCTGATACGTATGGTCGATCGAAGCTAAACCAAACTAAAAGTATTCACGTGTCAGATTACGAAGATATTTATACAGACCAATCAATGTACAAACGTCCTCTAAGTCCTATAGCTTATACAACTACAAATAATAATAGGTTAAATCCTAGTCTATCTGTACCTGCCGTAAGACCCTACACTCCCATAAATATACATGGTCCAAAAACCAACCTACCGTATGTACCTCACCAGCAACTTCAACAGAAAGTTCCCAATACCATACCGAGGCCGCACAGCGCCGATTTTCTGGAGTATGAGGTGAAGTACGACAACCAAAACCCTATCGCCCGAAGAGCGAGGCCCAAATCGAGTCTTGATATTAACCGACACGCAACAAACGACAATTACTTCTATACGGAAGAGGGTTATGCGGAAAAAATGAGAAAGTCGGCCCAATATTTGCCAAAGATGGCCAATGTTACAGGCCCGCAAAATGAATATCAAAAGTGGCACCCGACTTACAACAAGAACGAATCCGAGTTTCCCCCTCATCATTCGACTAGCCGGCCCATAAATTTTAATGAAGTTAACCAAGATTTTTGCCAAAGAGAACTTCAGCCGGTTCGAAGTCGAAGTGTGTTAAGCGATGGATCTCTGTGTAAGGAGGTGGATATGGCGATGGATCCTGGTGTTCGTGAACACTATGAGAAGGAACCTGTTAGTCCCGCATTCCATAGTCGGCATGAGGTGTTTGGACATTTGGATGATATGCACAGATCCAGAGATTATGAGCAATTCACCAGGTCCGCGAGTGCCCGATTGGCGCAATCTAACGGGCAGATTGAAGAAAAGTTATTAAATCGAGAGGGAAAGAGGAAGGTAAGCTCAATTTTTTATGTACATTATTATATGCTAAACTCTGCATAGATTCCCAATCTTTTTTGAAGCATCGTCCCCTTAAGGATAAAAAAATAGCTACCGCCCCCTAGTCATCGTTACGTTTACGCGACTTTTCGGAACACTGACGCACACATAAATTCTTTTAGAACTAGTACCCCCATCATTGGTTGAGTCCCCAGCGCAGTGTCAAGGTAAGTTGTGTATGTCAGCCAGGCGGCGTTGGCGGTCACTTCTCTAATTACTGCCGCCACAATGTGTTTAATTGCACAACCTCGATAGTTGCGCCATGACTGTCCCCCCCTCTGTCATAATCGACTCCCACTTACTGCTGAGCGCTCCCCTGGAATGCTCCAGCGCCCACCCCGTTGGGAACCTAGTGCTGAAGGAATAAGTATAATCAGTGCAGATTTAAATTTATTTTCGTTGTATTTAAAAATCCCAAGTGAAATGTAATTGGCAGCATTTTTTCGACCATTATCCATGAATTGGGCACTCCAACTGTTAGGTAGGTGCATCTATCCTTTTAAGGCTGGCAGTCAAAAATTGTAATTACTTCGCTCCTACCTGATGCGCAAAACTCAATTTGGGATTAATTAATTTATTTATTTCTGGCTTTTATTGTTGAGTGGGCGGGATTTCAGCCAAGGCTGCTCTACCAGTCCAACCCACTATACATTTACAAATACCCCTGCCCGCACCCGGATTCGAACCAGGGACTCTTAGTACCGCAGTCAAGCTTCAACTCAAGTGCGCTACACGGGTTAATAAATGTATAGACATGCCGCCCCAATTCTCATATGTATTTGTTTTTTTGTTATTGTTATTTGTCTCTTCAAGGGTGGATTTCAAATATTTTGATTACTGACGTGGGTTCTGGTTGTGTGCCCATTTAATTCATCCAATTAAGATAGTGATGGTTTGAAGAACACATCAATTCTTCATAAGCTGCAGTCTTACACTAATTTACTTCAATTTGTAATATTCAATAAATTGTATAATGAAGTTGTAATTTTATGTTGAAGAGAGAAGAATCAATGAAGCGTTTATTAGAATGGAAACAGAGAATGCTTCAATCTCCATTGAATAGGAAAGTCAATCAGAGTGTAGGCAAACCTGCAAGTGATAAGTGTAATGTTTACTACAGAACGAATGAAAATGGATATCCATCATCAAACGTCGATATGTATTCGGAGAATAGAAATCCCGCCCCCCAGTACAACAGTTACTCATCAGACGATGAAGGTACATTATTTAGTAAGTTAATTAAATTTAGTCGTCTCTCCTTTAAGTATATGTAAGTAAATGTTTAGATTTATTTTGTGCATGTGGGGATTTTTTGGTTAATCTTCATTGGTCCTTCCTGCCTGACACAGCTTGGGTCTCAAATCTACTACTAACTTTGGTGGCAACTCTTTTAACTTTTCGTTATTGTACTAACAGATTAATGTATCTATTGGAAAATAAATTTATGTACACGTCTTAAATCTCAAATTATAAAATTTTGTATGTCGGTTCAGAAAATGAGGATGGAAGCAACGAAAATGTGCAAACACAGGCAGGACGGACCACGGACACATATTCGACCCTTTCCAGACCTCACATTTCTGCACCTAAAGCTTCTACCACTGTGCTTAATTCTATGTATGAAACTGACGATCGGTTAGAAGGCAGTATGCACGATGCTATCATCAAAAGACTGCCTCTTGTGTGTCTTCATTCCGAAAAAGACAATTCGGCATCATTGCCAAACCTTGAAATGATGGAAAAACCTCTTAAAGTTGAAACTATAACCCCCACCCATACAGCGCATGTCGCAAGTTTACGCGTTGACTCCACAGACATATATGGCAAGGAGATTGCTACCGTCGAAGTAAAGAATAATGGCATTACCGTTCAAAATATCCTGGGCGATTTCCATCAAATGAAGGCAGAAGGTACCGAAACAGTAGAAGAAAATTATATGACGATGACACCGAGGAAGAGCGTTTTGGAACCGTCGGAAACCAGCTCAATTTTATCTATGGTTTTAAGTACAGATGCCGATGACAACTTATATGTCGAAATGACCCAAGGTTCTGACATTTCTCTATTAAAACCCGGGGAAAGTCTTTCAGATACTAATGATAACCAGCCGTATGAGACCTTATGTTTTAATGACGGAAAAGCTGAACCTGTGTATGCTGAACTGAACCAGTTTGACTATAGAAAGCCAGATTTACCCGACATCCTTATGGCATCGCAAAATAAAGGCACAGCTGATAAATCTGATAGTTCGGACGCTGATGATGAGGCGTCGAAGGATCTAGACTCTCTAGACACTTTGTATAATCCACGGTTTAGCCTATCGGATTCGTTTAGACCAGCTTCTTACTACCTGGGCGCAAGTCAAACTGCTCCTGAGTTACAGGATAGCTCCGACAGCGAACTAGTTTCACCACCTCCCATACCGACATCACCACCCCCAATGGATGACTTAGACAACATGGACGAAACGGTTTCAAGTAGCATGGCAGTAAGTCTCAGTTCTCAAGAGGGAAAAGACGACTTGTTCCATTTTAAGTTGACCAATAGCAAAACTTTGGAGGACGTTGAATTAAGAAGCACTTCTGATTATGAACGCATGCTAAAACGGCGCCCCGTTTCAGAGGAAGTTTATTACGAGTTGGAGCCTATAGACTCGAAATTGCCAGACAGTTTTGACTTAGACCATTATTTGCGCAATCTTGAAGTTAATAATGTCCCTAACGAAACGAAATTGGCCGACATTCACAACTATGAAAACATGTTTGTACAAAAACAAGTACTAGCGAGTAGTCAAAATTCTAGCAGCATAGAAACATTGTCCCCGTCAACTTTGCATTCTCACAGCAGAGACAATAGCAGAGACACGGCTAGCAGTCAAATAACAACAAGCAGTCGAAGATCTACATTTTCTCCAAATGATTTTATATTGAGAGCACAACCGAGCAGTAGTACGTCGATTATTGATGAAGTTAGTGGATATCTTAGTAGTTCAAGTCCATATTTGACTCCAGTTGCCTCGGAAAGTACGCCAACTCTTCCGGAAATAACGTCCAACTCGTTCTATTTATTTGGAAATAAATCCAAACCGTTCATCTCTCACTCTGCTCCGTACTACTATTCCGATTTATCTATTAACACGTCTCGTACAGACAGCAGCTCATCGATTTTGACTCTCAACAATCAAAGATCGTCGGCTACCGGAAGTAAGCGGGATATTATGCATATAATTAATCCTATTCGTTGTAATAACCACTTGAGGAAAACTACATATGTACAGCATCCAAATGTTTTTGACACAAGGTGTAAACTTGCAGCCGAGGCGCGCTCTGCGTCCGTAGATTTTTTGAACATAGCCGATAAGTCGGGAAATATAGATAAGAAGAATATTTACGAATCTGACACATTAAAAAGGCTAAAAGCGGCCAACATGTCGGTGAGTTTACAACAAAAATCTGCTAATGTGTACTTTGGTTCACGCTCAGAAAAGTTTAACGAATCAAATGTGAGAAGGTCCTACTCTTTTGAGGGTCTTTTAGAAAACGTGTTGAGTCAAAGTGTTGTAGTTCCGCAAGAGTTCAGAGACATCGCACAACAAAATGACCCTATTGGCTGTGAGACTACATGCGAAACTACAGAAGGAAGTCATTTGTGGGAGGAGGATTCTCTTTGGAGGGAGCAGCTACGTTCCGCCAGTCAACGTCATACAAGGTCATTAGATGATTTAGATTGCATAAGGGAGTTCGATAAAAGACCAAAGAAGCAGACGCGGGGAATAACCCGATTAGTTACGTACGTTAATGATAACATGTTTAATATGCCTTTTCAAGACAAGCGTAGTATAGAATTGGAAGTGAAGAAAGAAGAAAACAGTAAGAATAGCATTTTTATTATTGATAGGGAAAAATTAAGGCAGTGGGACTTTTTATCTAGTGCACCTTCTGATGCTCAATCATTCGCACAATCACCTAGTCAGGGTTATACTAACACAGTGGTAGACTTGGGTGCAGGTGTGAGTGCTTATGAAGCATCTGAACAAAACACCGTGCAGAATTCAGGTACCATTACTTTCTTTCTTCTTACAGGCCTTTGTAAAATAAGTGTACATAATATTTTTGAACGAAAGACCTCATTGCTGCGCTGTGTCAATTGTGTGAACTAATCATCTCAACTGCCTACTACCTACTGAATAATGTCTGCTGAGTATGAGTATTCCACAATTTTCTCAAGTGGACAAATAGGCAGCACAAATGATTGTAGTCAATTTCCTTTTTAATTTGTATTTCCGTTTATCTTCAAGATACAAATTGAAAAGGTTTCACATTCAAAGTACAAAAAGAATAATTTGCCATTTTTCAAAATCGAAGAGAGTACATCATCTAGGCCAGTCAAAATCGACAATAAATCAACAAGACATGATGTATATTGTTTGAACTCATTAGGGTCGTTTACACAACTTTGGAACTCTCTAAAACAGGGGTCCCCAAACTGCTGACGATCTACCTCATTGTTGTTAGACTGTGATCGATCGACTCTGAGAGGCTGCAAGTTTGTGTGATGCAGGATTGTGGTGTATATAGGTAGGACGTATCGTCGCGCAAATATTAGTTGATAAGGACGTTGCTGAATTTGACAAAAATAATGTGCATAGAATTAGTGGAAACGGCAGAATTTAGTTTTCTGCAAAATTTATTTGGTTTACGTAGCTTCTGAAAATCGCAATATTTCTCGAGATCGACTCAAAAAGCACTCGCGATCGACCGTTTGAGCACCACTGCTCTAAAAGTTGTAGAAAAAGTATAGCATTGCATACGAAAAACCGCGAAATGGTCGGATTTTTTTCAGTTTTTGCTCTATATCTCCAAAACTATGCATTTTTCGACGAAAGCCATTGGTTGATGGTTGTAGGTGAACGTCGACGATTCTAATTGCACATAACCTAGCGTTTTTTAGCGAGAAACGGGACTCGGAAAATGCAATGTGAACTTTATTGTGCTTTTCAAAATATAAGAAAGTCTATCCACGTCAATATTCATTACTAAGACTTTAGACTAGGTGTTCATTACCAGATTTTACCAGCGGGAGGTCTAGCCTTGACCTCGAGGTCATCTATAGTTTGCACCTACTCCGGCTGGTTTCTCTTAAATTTCGAGTCAATAACTTCCTCTCGCAATTGATGCAGGATTAGAATGCGAAACTGCTAGACTGCACGCTATTAAAATCTAGCAATGGATAAGCTTTGGTAATTGATATTGCCATATTGGGGTAATTAAATTTTCTAATAGTTTCAAGAGCACTTACTCTTTGCCTTTTTTGTTTGGCAGAAGGATCTGTTTTCGTTCCTTTTTCTACACAGACTTGGCTTCTAGATTTTTAAATGAATATCCAGAGCCCTCTGTATATTAGCTCAGGAAAGGGAATAAAGAATAAAACCCATTGGAATGATACAAATACCTCCTAACAGAACAAGGACATATGTGCTAAAGATGGTAGTTGAGATGATTAGAGTTAAAACAATGATCAGTAAAACTATTTCATGGATCAAAATGTATGCAAAAACACAACATTTCGTTCACTTATTTCATTGAATGATATGTTCATTTCATTTTTTTCCATGAGAAAGCATGGCAGTGCCTGGTCACTTGGTTTATAATTCCTTCATGAAAAGATTAAAATTAGAAAGACTAGAAAGATTAGAATTAAATTAGTGTTTAATAACTTATTATAAAAAGTATATGTGCTTACATTACATTGTAGCATCTGGATCCATTTCTATAACTGCAAGGGACACATTTCCTAGATCTGTTCCAACAAAGAAAGTATGGACTCCCAATTTAAGGCCTACTCAGTCCAAATCAATAACAAACTTAGCCAATAAGAGTTACGAAAGCGAATATGGGATGTAAGTGGTTTTTTAGGTATAATTTATGATGTAACGTTTGTCTCTTGTATAGCTCTCACAGACCGCAACAAGGAACGTGCTACGTACCTCCAGTTACTAGTCACCCTGACATAAGCTCCGACACTTCTCAATCCAGTAATTCGCGCAGAGTAAGTACACATTTTGATTTCTCTTTAAATTGTTCGTTTCTTGTGTTATATTTTTGTAAATTCGTGTAGGCAAACTGCCAGTCGGGGGACAAAATGAACATGTCAGCCGGTGATCTTTTAGGAAGAACGCACGAAGAGCTTGTATTGCTTTTGATTCAATTACGGCGACAAAGTGCGAATAATTGTAAATCAATTGAAGCGTGTTATAATGACATTGATAATATTCAGGTCTGAATTTATTTACAACTGAATTTTTAACACAACTTATTCTCATCTACCTAACAATCGTCGAAATAATTTTTCCTTTTAACAACTAACCGATACTTTCGACTAATATTTGACCTAAACCTTGTGTTCCGCTCTTCTTTAATCATGTAGAAATGGTACAGTTGGGGATATTTTATCTAATAGAGTGAAGTAGGCCAGGTTTTAGATATTGCCCAAATATTTAAATTTTCACATTAAATTAATCTCCAAGTGCCATGTGAAATAGACATAAAAAGAGCCACACTAACTCCTTCGTAAATGTTATTTTTGCTTTTTGGAAGTGGAACAGTTTTATTCTTTTACCTGCATTTCTGCAATTGTTTTTAAAATGGGAATGTTGTTCTGGTCAATAATTACAATTTTTTCCTAGGCAAGGTTACCCCAAATGGACGCTTCAAAGAGATTAGAAAATCTTCAAAAATTGGAGCAAATAAAGCAACATTTATTGGAATTAGAAAAACAGGTAACACAATACAAGATATTGAATTTTGTTGTATATGTGTCCATTTCAGTATGAGAAAGGCAAGCCGTTAGTAAATTTAGTGGATAATATGGTGAAGTTGGGGTCACTCTACAGGTTTCCAAAGGACAACAATAATCTACCATTCATGAAAGATCGTTTGGAGTTCAACCAATATATACAAGAACGGCGCTTGTTGGCGGAAGAACGAAGAGACTGGAACCGTTTGAGCCCGAGCCAATCTGAACTGCAAACGAAAGTGAAACAACTGTATCAGTTAGATCGGCTCATTCAAGAAGAATCAGAAACGCTTCAATCGCTCCAGCATGACAAAGAGGAAATAGAAAGAACCTTGGGTGGACTTCGTCATAGGTTAATTAAGGGATTTAAAGATCCCATCGAAGTGGAGCAGGCGAGGAAGCAACAAATTGTGCTTGAAAATGAATTAAGTAGGGTTCATTCAATGCTGGCGCAAAATTCGAGGAAACTCGAAGAGACCGTTGCAGGAAATGCTAGGCTCGAACAAGAATTACTAGTGCTGAAACAAAAACTTCAACTGTCAAAGCAGCAGCGAAGTTCTCCGCAAATTTCGAATGCAGGTAGGTTTTTGTTATTAATTAGAACTTCACTTTACACCTTTTTGACAATTTTAATTTTTGAAAGGCTTGATTCTTCTGGATCAACCTTCTAATAGTAATTTATTAATATCCATTTGTACACTACTCTGTCTGCAACTTTTCTAGTACTTATTTCTAGTGCTGTTTTTCATTTAGAGAGTAAAAACAATATGATTGTCTCATGTGGTAGCTAAAGTAGTCACCGAATTTATCAGTCTCCCTGATTTTTTACTTTAATGAATTTTTCTTTGACCAAAGCTTTCTGTGCTAAATGGGTCCATTTAGTAAAAATTGTTTATTAGCTTTTCTTAAAGCCGCGTAACCACTTGCATGAAACTTCCTGATTTGCGTAATGTGTTAACCCTCGTATGACGTCACACATTCCAACTTTATTGGGGTGCTGTTAAGTAATTATAAAATGATAATCAATAACAGATGAATAAGCGTAGATGAGCAAAAGATTTTAAGTTTTGTATTGTTCTGAAATGTACAAACACAATAACAAAGACACAGAATAAACTTTTTATACACCGATTTACTAGGAGACTAGGTTTAGTTCCCCTATCTCTCCACCGCTGCGCCAATGTTATGCAGAATGTATTTAATCGGTACATGGCCTGTGAACAGTCCCATAGGTCCTTGCTGTTGAGGGCTGAAGCTTTCTTGACTTTTTGTAATGGGGCTTTGATGAATAATTTTGCCTGTCGTTGTCCTGGTACCCTGTGCCAGTGATGGATCCCATTCATCCCCTCCCATTGGTTTAAGGCTTCTGACTTGTCCAGTCCACAGAAGGTCTCCAGCTGTATTGGTTACCCCCTGGCTCCTTGTTTGGTCAGTTCATTGGCCTGCAATGTCCAAATGCCCTGTGGCATCCACCATGTAGTGTGATGCGGTTGGCAGTTGCCAATCTCTTTAGGTTGCAGATGCACTCCCAGACTAGTTTGGAGTCGCAGGTACGGGCTACTTTCGCCTTCAGTGCAGCTTGACTGTCTGTGAGGATTTCTATTTTTGCCCCCTTCTAACCCTTTTCAAGGTTTATGAGGGCACAGAGGTGTATGGCATAGACTTTTGCTTGAAAGACGGTGGCTTTTTGCCCCAGTGATTGCGAGATTCAACAATATTCGTTTGTAGCTGACCTTTATCCCTGTTTTACAGCCCTTTTGTTTTGAACCATCTGTGTACCACTGTGTTTCCCAATCATACTTTTGTGTAAAAGCACAGATTTAAATATACTACAGATGGATCATGCCATGTTAAATTCTGGCAACGGTGATTTGGATTTAAGCCTCTGGTGCGTTAAATCCAAACTAAATTAGTGTTATTCCGCGTCCACAAGGAAGCGCTGTAGAATGAATAACTTGCGCGTGGTTTACAACTGCAATAAGAAAGACAAGAACTGTTGTGATAAACAGGGGTATCTGATTACACAGAGTCCAACAAATGTTGTATTGTATGTAACTGACCTTCCCCATTTATACTCGCAATTTTTCTGCTAGCATGCGTTTATGTTAGTTACACATACACATTCCTTTATATCGGAACTCGGAAGGGCGAACCGACGACTGATTATACCTTATTCTGTCAAACCAACAAGATTTGTAATTATGCAGGATGTTTACCGTATAATTGATTTATTTTTGATTATAAGTAGGTACGGTATTTTGTGCGATTTAGGTTATAATTAATGCCTACATATCTGATCACAGCTTGGCGTGTTCCGTGCTCGTATTTAGATTTTTAGAGTATTTTTAATGATAAGACGATCTAAAAGCACAATTATGACGTAGACGAAGTTTTTATTAATTAATCAGAGAAGGTGTTAGGCCTGTCTTTGTGAGAAACAACATAGGTACCTAACAATAGGCGTCTGAGAATTTAAGTCAAGTAAGCGAATATGAGTCGAATGTGAGATGTGACCAAACGTCCCGTTTTGAACGTGACAGTTCCGTTTTTAGTACACTTTCACTTTCAAAAAATAAAATGTTCACACTTTGGCGCTCTTGATATGTCTACCTGTCTGTCTGTTTGTTATTTCATTTTTGTAGTCTCATTAAGGCATGAAATGTCCATAAGGGCTGTTAAAATCGAAAAAACAAATTTGAAAATGCACTCTTCGCCTTTGCTCACATGCGGATTAATGATTTTTTTCCTTATATATGCTGGTTGTCCACGACAATCACAACGGGGTTTTATTTCTAGAAAACATGGTTTTGCCTCAAACCATGGCTCTACAAAATTGTTTCTCGTCTTGGTCCATTATTTTTGACCACAGAAGGACGCGCAAATTCAAATCTTGGAGTTTGGATCCCAATCGGATATAATCGTTGAATATTGTAAGGAAGTATATTAACATTAAATGATTTAAAATCAAAAGTTGTGGGGTTTTTGTGGAGACAACGGTAACTGTAGGTAATTTTGGTGGCAAAAATAGTAAAAGGTGTCAACAAAGCCTTTGCAATGGAGGTCGTCCCTGAAATAAAAACAAAACTTATAGGGATTGTTGATTTGAGTTCACCATTGTTAAAATTGACTTATTTTTTTAACATTTATAGTGTTCGCATTGAAAAATACTCCAAGAGTTCTACGGCTTAGGTGATAGAAAGTATCAAAAACTGTTGGGTTACATTAAAACAAGGTGCCTAGCATTGATGTCTGCATTCGAAAGAGTTTTCAAACTATTGTTATGTGAAAACACTAGGTACTTTTTGAGTATCTCAATGTCTGAATATTTTGAAGTAATTGTTTGAAAATTTCAGCTCCGAAATTTGGCTGTTTTTCCTACACGCGCAGCCCTGTTAAAGATCGAGGCACAAAGCATATCTGCAATTGCGGCTGTTAAATTAATCGCCCAAGGCTTTAAGGGAAAATTTGGCTGTGCCTATGAGACAAAAAGTTATATTTTCTTCTCCGTTCCACTGGTAATTTATTGACGAAACTTTAAAAAAATTTGTGGTCAGTTCAAATACAAGTTAGAAGCGTGGAAATGGGGGATTCTTATATAAGTGCAATTTACGTTATGTGATTTTGATTACGATTTCTCTTGCGACTTGCGAGTTGCCATAACCAAATATTTCAAGAGTCACATTATACGATTTTGTCGTACGACTTGTAAAATTGTATCTTGACGTGCGATTATGGGTTCGACCTCGACCAAAACTGTAGAAGAAGATAGGCAAAACTAAAAATTACCACGTTAGTAAACCACGCGTGGGAATGGCGCCCAGATGTCGCCGTCCCCACATCATGTAGCCCCGTCCCTAAAGTTGTTAATTACACGACCCCGTATGGAGTATGGACACGTACACTCTTCGTTTTTCTACATGCGATTGTCTACAGGCCCTCATTTGCTGCCAGCCAGTCAGCCGGCCAAAGTGATATGAAAAGCTTCTATTAAGAACAAATGAAGATGCAATTAGAGTTTTGACATCGATCCTACTTTGCAAAAATGAGCTAAAAACTACCGTAGGCCTATGTCTGGTCCAGAATTGCAGTTAAAATTCGAATTTTCAAAAACCATTTTGGTTTCGTTATTTTTCTCTTAAAGAGACGCAGATACCAAATTTCTGTGGGATCGAAAATGTCACATCCCAGTTGAGACCCTATATTGGGGAAGTACCGCAGTAGACGTTACAATTTCCACGATATGTACGTGGAACCATTCTGTTCTTGGTATAGTCATGAATTTCTAAGGCTGCATGATAATGCGGAACAAAATAGTGAAGAAAGTACTTCGATATATTTTGAGATAGTAGTAAATCCGTACGGGCTGTCAAAAAGCGCGGGGTGGCTATATTGCGATTACCGTTTTTGGACGTATCAAAATTTCATCAAACGTCAACGTTTTAGATCATTTTAAGCAACTTTTAAAGAATAAAAATTTCTACTGTCTGTTTTAACTCGTATGTACCTATGTACGTACATAGGTTGGCAGATTAGGCATAAAGGATGTAAACGTCATACTATTTTTTTTTTATAGCAATAACGCAAAATTTTTATTAAATTATTCGGAAGACTTTCTTTTTCTGTGTACAACCTATACAAATGATGCTAGGTTTTATTACAAATAAACTTTTTTTCAAATACGTACTAGCGCTAAATTTTTTATTTAGTTATTTGAAAGAGATTATTTTTCTTGGTTTAACCATTGATAGTGTTTTTATTCAATGGTTTAACCTACACAAATTTGGTTTTATTACAAAAAAATATATGTATTAAATTCTCCGAAATACAGCAGCTTAGTGCGCGGTTATTAAATACTTAGGATTTGAAAAGAATATTTAAAATTCATTGCCGGGGCATATTGAAGGACTCTTCAGGCTACAACCTAAAAATATTTTTAACGAAATTGCAATTGTTATACAGGGTGATTTAAATCAAAGTTGCACTTTTTTAAATATAACTCCCTGTTTTATAATTAGAATAGGTGTTTTAACTTTTAACGGCCTATTAATTACTGAGAGGCTTTAAAAATCGACAAACCTTGTGTATTATTAGAAATGGTTGAATTACAAAAATATGTATAAAAGGTAAATACGGCGTGCTTATATCGTTAGAAAGGTAATCAAATCCTACATTTGATGCAATAAAAAACTTGGTAGTTTCATTTAAAAAAATCAAGTTATCTTTTATTGAAATTTTGAAAATTTACAGTGATTTCTTTTAGCACAAAAAAAGTTTAACTTTGACCGTTCGGCGTATGTAGGTAAGCACACGTGATGATCGGTAATACTGCAGCGTCATGGCCTTCTAAGTTTTATGGAAACTTCGTTTTCAATTTTTACTGGACATTTATTTTTTGAAAAAATGACGCTCAGCCACTCATTTTAGATATCATGTTTAAATAAAGTCACACTAAAATTGACTAAGTAATCGAAATATGCAATAATATAGGTGAGTTCTATTTAAAAAAATACAACTTTGATATAAATCACCCTGTATACATCATCGAGATTTTGTTTGATTCGGATTCCTGGTGCCTCAAAACATGTATTTGATGTATTCCCGTCAAAAAAGGGAGGGATCATTTTTTACCCCACTGCAATACCTCCCTGACTGACATGCGGGTAGTAAAATTAAGTTAAAATAAAGAAACAGATAACGAGTGAAGTTTTCGGGTAGTTGTAAAAAGCTGTTCTGCAAGAATTTTACACCTGGTTTCAATTTCATTTGGCGATGCCTTGAATGAACGTATAGACATATCAAAACTTTCGATTGATAGTAGTTGATTACAGAATTTTAATTTTCAGGCTGAAACTGAAACTACCATTCTATAGAAAAAAATTGTTCTTGGATTTTATTAATTTAAATTAAAGGAGAGAGAACGGCCACAGATACGCCCACACAAGGTCGTAATTGAACACAAACACACAATACAAAGACCCACTGTTTTAATTACGAAGAAAAAATTCATATCATATTGCTTTTCAGCACCATCAATAGTAAAAACCTTCTATGCCATCGTTATACAGACTCCTGCTGATTATTTTAAGCTGAGACCCAAACTAAAACTTTCGATTTAATAAAATTCATATAGGTGCGCTAGCAACTGGAACGTTTGTTGTGTTTCCACAATCGCCTATCTCATGATCCATCTGTAGTATATTTAAATCTGTGGTAAAAGGTTTATACTGTATGGTACCCTTAGGTTGTACTTTATCGGCATTAAGTCAGATGGGTATTCGGTCACCTCTTTTATACAATGCTTCTCAGCTAAGGGTCCTACTAGGTTCTCCAGTTTGAACCCCTTGGTTCGGTGCAGTGCTATATAGCGCTTCCCATCGCGCTCGCTTCTTCACAATTAAATGGAGAGGCGCAAGGCCTAGCAGTGCCTTCATAGCGGCTGTGGGACAGGTGCTCATGACTGCAACTGTTTTTGTGCAGTTATTTGTTAAACTTTTACCCACCATATGACTGCAGCATATGTAACTATGATGAATCTGATGATAGTTTCATACGCCCATTTTGTTATTTTAGGGGTTAAACTCCAGTTCCTGCCTAGTAGCCTTCTACAGGCCTGGGATGCCAGGATCGCGCATTTTCCAACGAAGTTGGTTGCGCTGTTACAGCCACTCTCTGTCCATCCGTCTGTCCGTTTGTCCGAGGCCTTAACTACTTCTACAGTTTTCAAGATATTAAGTTCGTCCGTTTTGCATTCGGTAGCGTATAGCTCTAGCACCTGAGCCAAGGAAAATCTTGACAATTAAACTGCGCATGCGCAATGTCAACTTCCTTATTTATTAATATGTTTTGTTGAAATTTTAACCACAGATACTTGTGGTGAAGGCAAATATATCGCATATAGTAAAAATCAGATGTGCGCATGCAAATTGCTTTTAGTCTTTAGTGTAAGCAAACGTATTGAATATTGTAAACATCAGATTAATGCGCGTGATATCTTTTTGAAATTTTAATCACAGATGCTTCAGTTAAGGGCAAACATAACTGAAAAATTGAAAAAATTAGATGTGCGCATGCGCAGTCAGTGGCAACTTCTTTATTCGTCAAGATATTTCTTTGAAATTTTAACCATAGGTGCTTCTAGTAAAGAAAAACGTATCACATGTAGTAAAAATCGATAATCGATGTCATTAGGAAAGTCAAACATATCGCACATAGTAAAAATCAAATCCACGCATGCGCAGATTGCAAAATGCCATTTCTTATTGTTGATGCTGGTGTTCTGCTTCTGCAATAAACTCATGTTACGCTCTGTGACGGAAAGTAGTCCTTCACAATAGTCGCCTTTGGAATTTCTTTCTCATCGATAGCTCTTAGTGTCACACCTTCCCATGGCTTGACGCTTGGCACCACTCCTTTGAGCCATTCCGCGGTGGTCTCATCAGCGCAGTTGACCAGCAATCTGCCTGGTTTGAACGTAGAACCTAAGAATTGAGGACCCACCATTCCTTCTTCCAGGTTTCTAATGATTTCAAGGATTCCCTCCTGAAGTGCTTTAAGCTCTTCTGTAGTGAGGTGCATTTCCGGGTACCTGCCATGCAGTATCCCTACCATTTTACTCTCTGTAACCTGTTTATAAGTTGTAGAGGGATTGACAGAGTCCTGTGGAACTGTCCCACTTGGGTCTGATGGGCAGTCTCGGGTGTGGTATTGTCGGACCCTGACCTTTTCTTTCCTTTGTCCGAGTTCCCTTGTTCTCTCGGCGGTACATGTGCGATACCGGTTCTACACCATGTTGCTTCAGCCTACAGTACTGTTTCCTTGCAGCACCGCCCAACTTTGGGAACCTGACTTTCAGCTGGATTTTGGCCACCCAGCCCATGGTTGCTGCGCTTCGAGGGGTACCACCCTCTGTTACTTCATCAGGTTCTTCCATGCGCGTCCCAAGAGTATTGGTTTTTCATTTTAAGGAACTTTATAACCTCATTGTAGCACAGCACATGTGACTTTATACCAATTCCTCAATTACATTTTAGTTTCATTTCTAAGTGAAGAGGACCTCACAAGTATATGATTTTCAATTAATGAAAGTTTCAACCTGAAAATTGACTAAATGGGCCTCCTTGTTCTGGGCAGTCAAATAATTCGCATAGCAGCTACCAAGTATTTGTGATTGTGTTTGTCATTATGTTAACTTAGTACCTAATCTACAAGGGCAATATGTTGCACTAAATGGAGAACAGCTATCAAATTTATCATTTTCTCTTTGTCTGCAAGTATCTACTACTTAGAAAATGCACCCAATTATTTCTAGAACGATCTCTCTTACATGTAGTTGTGCATTAGATGTATGTAATTTATTTTAATTGCACCTCTGTTATGATTTACATTTATATGGTTCTAATTTCAAATATTTAAGTTACTATGTGTTGCTTATTGTTGTTGGTAGGCGATAGTTTGCCATGTGTAATTGGAACAAGTGCCATGTTAGAATCTGATCTTCATAGAGTGCAACAAAAGGTTGGAGACCTTCAACGTCAAAGACAAGAATTAAGTGTGCAAGTCAGGCAGCTTACGGATCGTTCAAATAGTTTACAACAGTTACGAATTTCAACAAATTTACCTCAACAAGCAAACCAGGGAAACAAAAAGAAAGTCAACTTGCTATGGCGTGAAACAGATTTGGACACTATGAAATCTTTTGATCATGGCGAATCATGTGATTCGTCAGTTACATCTAATAGTATCACACCCCTGTATATTAATACGAATCTTAAACAAAACGTAGAATCAGATTTCTCTACAAGTAGTTATAAATCAAATGATTCGACAAGCGATGAAAATCAAAATCAAAACCTTTTTCCCCAAGAAAAGCAAGAAATCAAAACAGTTAGGATTGTGAAACGTGAATCGGAACGACGGCAAAGGGACCGAGAAAAGGTTTGCACCGGAAAATGGGACATCGTAAATGAAGAAGAGGATTCTTCTCAAAGTTCGAGTACAATTTTTAGACCGACTTCAATCCAAAAAACACAAAGTAGTGCCACCTTAGAGAGATTAGATTCAGATCAGTCAACTAGCGGTGTTTTGAGCAGACAAAGTTCTCTCTCCCAACCGAGCCTACCACAACTACCGTCTGATATTAGGAGCCCCCTAAATGTGAGCGCAGATAAATTATCCGAGCTTTCTCCCATTTTTAAAAGCGAATCCGCCAAACAAATAATAATGGAAATGGCCACGCAAGACACTGTGAAACATTCAAATAGACGAATCGTGCCTAAAGAAAAACGGAGGCACTATACCGCTCCCCATAATAATTTATTAATGAAAAGTTTAAATCATTTACCAACAGATAATAAAGATTTTGATAGTTTAAATATTAGGCGAGCTCGAGATGATTTGGACATGGAAAGAGCACTACGACAACGAATCGACGCACCTGATGTAGTTCGTTCTACGCTTAGTAATAAGGAATTAAAGTACAATGAAAGCACGATTGATAATATTTTAGGGACACCTAATAAAATTATTATACCAGAAAGGTATGTTCCTGAACAATTGCCTCAATTAACTGCTGAAGAACAGCAGTACAGGCTACGAAAAGTGGAGTCAATTAAAAAAATGCTTTCCGATACGACAATTATTAGCGGTAGCTCACCTAATTTAGCGGCGGGTAAGTTTTCTGAACGTCCGTATTTCGCTTTACTCTATTTTGTAGAGGAGACCAATTCCGAACACTCTTCTAGCAGTGCAACTAATAAAACTTCGAAAATCATAGAGGAGAAGAAACAGCGAGAGCATCTTCTGCAACTTAATCAGATTCTAGCCAAGCAAGTCATGGAAATGAGTAAAATTGTCGCAGGTATCAAATAATTTGAGCTTTAACACTGCCTGTTTTTGCAACTTTTTTGTTTTGTTATCGTAGGTTCCAACACACCCGGAGAATAGTAGTTGATTTGCAGTTTGCTTTTAGTTTAAGGTTTGTTTTATTTTGCTCACGATTCTTAAGGCCTGCACTAGTTCGTGACAAATTTGCCGTAAACGTACTCATATATTGGTTTTCCACATTACACATATATTTAAATTTTTTTCTTTAAATTGATTTATACGACAAATTTGTTAAAAGAACTTATACAAGCAGCACTTGTTATGCAATTCTAGCAGTAATAGTTGTGACTTTAATTGTAATTTTTAAAAATTTTTAAAAAATATGCAATATCCTATATTTAAGGCTCAACCTTTGTCTGAACCTTTTGTTATCAAACTTGATTTAGGTGGTCTATCTGTGTTTTATTTTTAAAGTACACACTTTGAAACTCAAATATGGGATATGGTATAGTAAATAATGAACACCACTGAAGGATTTTTTATTTCAGTAAAAGCATTAGCCACATTGCCATTAGAGTCTGGACAGATAAGCTCGGAAGAAGATCTTTCGCCAGATGTACCTTTGCCTATTTATCAACAACGTGATAATTTTTACAGTTAATGATATTTATTGTAAATTTTTGTACTTTTTAGTAGTTGTGTTCACGTTTGGCCTATCGTACATTTTTTGAAAATAGCTTATATAAACAGTATTATGACAAGTTATGGGTATTTGATATAGATTTAAAAATGTACGAAATGAACTGAGTGCCAGACAATAAATTTTACACATAAGTTGTAAATATGGTTTCATTTGTAAAGTGTAATGTTATTTAGTTTTTTGAATTTTTAAACCTTTTTTAAATTTTCTATAATGTAATTGCTCAAAAGTTACTCAAAGTGTTTTGTATATAGTGTTCAATTAATTTATAGATGTATAAGACAACGGTGAAGGTTTTTTAACAAGTTCACATATTAAACGAAACACCATATTATATATCCGTTTTGCAAATTAACATTACAGTGTATTATATAAACAAATATTAAAATTTATCCTTTATTCGCTCATTTTTTAAAACATTGTGGATTGTTATGTTAAATCTATATTATAATGTGAATAATAACAATGTAAATTTCTTGATCTATTCCTGTTTATGAATAAAATTTCCTTATGATTTATGTTTGGTTTTTGGAGCAATGCCGCTTGTGCAGACACCTATAATTTTCAAAAATAACTGGAACATTACTTAATTCGGCGTTGGTATATGTAATGCTATTTAATTGAAATTATATTGAATTTAATTAGGTAATACACAGTAGGGCCTCAATAATTCGAACCCACGATAAACTGAACGCTTCTATAATCCAATCTATCCCACCGGTTGCGCATGCCGTTGTCTCATAGAGTAGATATCGCTGCGCCACTCTTGTTTTTATTCAGGTACGCGTCGTTTCGCCATTTTGTTCGTTTCTCCAACACTTTAAAATACATAGGTACATACCGTAATCTGAACGCCTCATTAATCTGAACAGGGTGAAAATTTTGGGTGTTCGGATTATCAAGGCCCTATGGTAGGTAAATTAAGTTTAAATTAAATCGCGCAGTTGTGTAGTCGTAAATCTTCAGTGTCGGATTGGCCAAGTGGGATACCGAGAAATTTCCCGGTGGGCCCCTCCGATTCGTCTTGGGTGGGCCCCGCGCCCTCCACATAAACAAGATAATGTGGAACGTATCGGATTTCAAAAAAGCATTCCTCAATTTAGATTACATACATTGTGTGCGAACGCTTGTAACCAGATATTGCAATAGTTATATTGGTTTTAAGCTACTATAGTAGGTACTTATGTCCTCAGCTATTACATGTGGCGAGACACTAACTTTGTTCCTAATGAGAATTTGTAGTACCAAATTGAATCTCTGTTATTCTACTCTAAGTAACAACTCCTTAGAGTCCGATACCTAAAATGGGCAAGGGTGGCTAATCTCTGGAGTTCCCACCACCCGGAGTACTCATGTTAAGGTTTCCTTTATAACCTTTAACGTGTGATGGTCGAGTCTGATTTCTCGAAACTACTTCTGTATCAACAAATGCCAATTTGACCTTTACCAGAAAAACCTGGAATCAGAAACTGACCAAATGTCATCACGTTTGATGAGTAACACGCTGGTCCCTGGCCCGTTTAACCTGACGGGCAAAATAGATGATATGTTTCAAAATAGGGATAAAGGCCTTTAACTTTGCCACATTGTGTCATTCTAGTCCCTACGCGAAGCATCGTGTAAAACATCAGTATTTGCAGGGACACGATCAATAGTTCATCGATTTCTTTATTAAAGCTCATTTTTTGCCTTGCGCCCATCGATTTCTACTAACTACTATGGTTCAAGATGATACCCGACCCGTGCGTGTGGCGCAGTGCAGTTGAAGCTGAACTGCTGTACTAAGGGTCCTGGTTCGAATCTGGGTTCAGGCAGTTCAGGCATGGATATTTGTAAATGTATAGTGTTTCCCTATAAACAATGACCTTCGCCCGCGGCGCGTGCGCGCCTAACCGTCGAGAGCATTTTAATATCTCTTTACTCTACCAGCTCAAATTTGAAGGGCATCGCGTCTGTTTCTGAGGTCACCTTCCGTGGGATGCAACTGGTCGTGGTGATGGGGGTTAAAATAACGTCCTTGGGCTCAGTAGTCACAATTTTCTGTGGCGGGTGATTGCTAGACTCCATGGCTTTAACTCATTAAAGTCTGATCCGTGCTACCCGATTCCAGTAAATCTGGTTCAAAGGATGCCGTATCGTTCAAATGCTTCATGGAGTAGAGATATTCAAAAGAATTCTCGACTATTACTTATCAAACGTGCATGCAGAACTCCCGTACGTTCACTTCTGAGCCGTTACATGGTAGACATTTGGTCAATTTCTGATTGCAGGATAATCTGGTAAAAGGTGGATTGCCATTTGTCGCAAACAGGAGTAGAGTTTCGAGTAATCGGACCCGACCGTGACTCATCAAAATGTAATAAAGGAAATTTTATTAACACAAGTACTCCAGGGTGGTGGGAGCCCCAGGGCCTAGCCTAGCCGAACCTGCCCACCTAATTGGTGTCAGATTCTGTGAATGCTATGCTGTTTCGCTTAACCGATGAGTACAAGAATTAAAATTCCTGCATTTTATTTCTTAAACTATAATACCTAATCCAGGGTGAATCCCCACGTGAAATTTTGTTCAGAATTGGTTGCATGATTGCAATCAGTGGACTTAATTATTTACTTACTTATTGTTCTCAGGTCAGATTAAAATCCATTCTGGTACTGGACGGCAGATGACCCAACTTTTCCGGGTTAGCATCATGGAGCCAAATGTTAACCTCAAAGCAGCGACGTAACTATAATTTTGAGGCCTCCCCGCAAAAATTTTTATTGGCCCTCTCCCCAAGTAATAGGTACAGCAGCGTGGGAAATGTCTTATGCGTGCATCCCGAGGTGCATCCGCATTTATTTAAGATGTGCAAGTTCTCGTTTGAGCTGAATGACATGAATGAATGTACAAATTTCGTCTCCTACATTGTCGACATTGTAAAGCCAAAACAAACATTAAGCATAATGAAATCATACTAATAGTGAGACCATTGTTTAAATCTTTAAATACGTTGCAAACAGCTACATTGCATTTCATATAATCGCTGCCTGGGCTTCGATCGCCGACTCAAAGTCCATTGAAATGAATAAGGAACATTGTACTGTACATATTGGGGATTAATTTTGAAAGAAATATTGCCGGATGCATGAGAGAATGTGAGTATCACCGTTTGTAAAGGTCAATTTACTTAAATTTATAGGCTATTACTTTTTCTGTCAATCCTAATAATTACGAAACACAATATATTTTCCCTGTGGCATCTAGCAGAAGTTGAGAATACTCAAATAAGGAGATTAGTTGGGGGCCCCAGCACTCGTTGAGAATTTTTTTTGAATTACTTTTCTCATATTTGTAAAATTCCTTGTGCATTGTAAGATGAGTATACTTTCGTTAAGACTGTACTCCGAAGCATTTGAATGGTATGACATCTTCTAGACCAGATTTACTGGAGTTAGGTAGGTAGCTCCATAGCTCACACACCAAACTTTATAGGTAAAATCCATGGAGTCTAGCAGTTACCCGCTAATTAGCTAAGGGCACGCGTGCTCGCTAAGCACGAAAGCACTATATATAATGAAAGGTAAAGTTATCCTTCCCTTGTAGTCCCTACTAGTAATCAGAGCTGGGCAGAATACTTTCAAAAAGTATTTGAATACTAAGTAGTAAATACTTTACACAAATCAAAGGTATTTGAATACTAAATACTTTTACGTCCAGCACAAGCGAATACTAGATACAGATACATTGAAAAGTATTCAAATACTTTAAAAAATAAGTATTCTAATATAATCAAAGGTATTCGAATACTTTGAAAAGTATTCATTAACTTACTTTGAAAAGTATTCGAATACATTAAAAATTTAAAATAGTATACTAGATAAAAGTCGTAATACTACTTAAAAAATCAAGTTATACTTTGCATGGGGTTAGCTTTTTTTATATTTCTATTGTTATATACAAATTTAAGGGGAATAAAAGCGTATTATTATTATTATATTATTATAGAGGAGGTACCTACCAGGACCTTTCTTATACCAGTTATATCCTTAAGAATACGTGTACCAGTTTTCAAAGCGATCGTACGTCGTGCACATGATACGTGCGCTTTTCTGAAATTAATCCTAGCGATTTTGGAACAGATCCATTTTTGACCATCCGTTTGTCCGTGCGCATGATAGTTTGTTTAGAAACGTGCGATCGCTTTGAAAATTGGTACACATGGTCTTAAGGATATAAGAAAGGTCCCTATTGTTATTAAGTTACGTAGACTATCGAGTCAAAAAGTTTCACTCCAGGATCGTTCGGTATTCAGTTGTATCGGATTTTTATATTTGATTTTGTGACAATAGAAACTTTCCCTAAACATTTCTAAATTGTTCTCAAATATTTTAATAACTTAAAAGTAGGTACTGCGTTTTTTGAGGCCGGAAAAAAATTGTCTCAGATCGGCCTGGAAAAAAATTTTCTTATAGAATGTGGCCTGTAGAATCCATAATTTCAAACAGTTCCCAGATTGGGCTACTAGTTCAAAAGTTACAGCCCTTTGAATTTTCTTTCGAAATTGGTTTCTAGTCTATAACTTTTGATTGAGAAGTTTGATCGAAAAAGTACGAATTGTTTTGGATTCTACGCGCCAAAATTAATAAGAAAAAGTGTTTTCCCGAGAAATTTTGGTGCAGTCAATTTTTGGTAAAAAAGGAAGGTTATACACTGCCTTTTTTTGAGCCCCGAAAAAAAAATTGTCTCAGATCGACCCGGAAAAAAAAATTTCTTATAGAATGTGGCCTGTAGAATCCATAATTTCAAACAGTTCCAAGATTGGGCTACTAGATCAAAAGTGTTCTCCCGATAAATTTTGGAGTAGTCAATTTTGGTAAAAAAAAGGAAGGTTAAGTATTCAAATACTATACGAAGTATTCAAATACTATACGAAGTATTCAAATACTTCTCAAAGTATTCAAATATCTTGCGAAGTATTCGAATACTTTACGAAGTATCCAAATACTTTGCGAAGTACTCGAATAGGTACTAAATATTTGTGAAAGTAGTATTTGAGTTACAAATACAAGTACTGCTTCCATAAAAGTATTTAATGACAAAGTATTTGAATACTTTAAAGGATTTGAATACTAAAAAGTATTTACAAAATCGAATACTGCCCAGCTCTGCTAGTAATATACTTAATGTGAACTGGCAAGCAGGTATTAGGAGAGTATCAATTACAGTAGGTAATAAAATAATAAGTAATAACACTGAACATTCATTAGTCAACCTCCTATTGAAATCCATCGCCAGTAACGCCAGTTGACATATGTGTATGGAAAAAAGTGCATGGTCAGGGGCAGCGGGCGACGAAAATTCAGTACCACAGATATATGGTATAGGTGTCAGTACTTAGCTTTTGATTGCGATCGGCGTGTGACTGTAAGTATGAGAGATTGCCGAACAGATAGGAGACTCTACGATTACCGTAGACAAGATTTTGGTGAATATTTTAAAGTTCACGAGGTCTGTGTGCCAGGTGCCTCACGCGGATGCTCCCTGATGAACACAAAGAAGAAGCGTCATCGAAAAGGTTTTCTGCGCCGTAGAGGGAAGGAGTTTTTAGATTCATTTGTAACGGGAGACGATGCTTGAGTCCACTACTTCACGCCACAGATTACGGAATAATCAAAACAATGGAGGCATTCCTGCTCTCCAAGTGTTTAGCTTTGGTATTTTGGGACAGGAAATGCGTTCTTCTGCTCGACTATCTGGAAAGAGAGCTATATACTTCACGTTCGACTTCGCTTGGCATCCCCACATAGGTCCACCGCTCCACAGGTTTCAAATTTATTCCAGTAAAAACACATACCTAATGGGAATGGGATCTTGATATACAAACGATTATGGTACGAATTTGTCACATACTAAAGAATATACTAAGGAATATTATGAGCTCTTGCGTGGAGTAAAAAGCAAATGTCTTCGAAGTATTTAGGTACTAATTTTACTTTTAAATTCTGGTCTAGAGACTTGATTTTGGTAAGTGATTGCCTGGTTTGTAATATATTTCCCATTATTGTTGATTTTGAGGTCTCCCTTCTAATTTTGTTATTTGATCTGGTGTTATAGGTGTGAATTGTTCTTGGGTGCATTCACAAATAAATAAATTGTACATTATAGTGGAATTTTTAGATTTTTGAAATGAGAACAAGATTCTCGCACACCAATACCAGCTAATACATATACGAATTGCCTTTTTTTGCAGTCTGAAAATGTCGGCAGCCATATTTGAATTATCGCAAAAAAGCAATTTCGCACGACTTTACCAAGGTTCCTTTCTCGCGCCCAACGAAAAAACTATTTGAAGGGGACCTCTAGCTATTGTGCCGAAACGTTTTTATCTACATTAAGTGCCATTTTATTTTCGTAAATCAGCACTGCGCCTTAGACAGGATTTCTGATACTTTATTTGTTAGGTTTTCTAGTGTAAGTACTTACTCCCTGTTACCACAAACTTATGTCATCAGCATCAGCAATTGAATTTAGATCTGAATAATATTTACCTTTTTATCGATTAAAATCACGAAACCTTTTATGGAAGGAAGACTACATACGATTCAAATGTATATTCTATTAAGGAACGTTGGAAAACTTTTTGGATAACACAATTTTTAATCAACATTTAATCAAAGAACCGTCCAATGAAGTTGCAGGGCTTGATCTTCCAAGAAAAATGTGGGTCAAATTAAATCGTGTAAGAAGAAAACATGGAAGATGCAAACTTACATGCTACACCAATGGAACCCAGAACACAATCCGGCCTGCTGCGGACATCCTATAAAGAAACAATCCCACATCTAGTTGAGGTGAGGAATGTCCAAATTCAAAGTTTGGGAAGTGGGTACCGACAAAAGAAATGTGGTAGTCCTCGACAAGATCTTACTGATGGTGGAGTCAAAACTGGCTAATAGAATACTGATCTGTCACACCACAAAAATGGGCTGCAGTCCCTTCGATCTCACACGAGGACTTTGATAATTAATTTTTTTATGACAATGTGGGTGCCAAATAAATCCGACCTTCCACCGACAATCTCTTTTTGTTCTAGGACGTTAGTAAATAGTTCAACATTGTCGTCGTTTTCGGCACCAAACGTGTCCCTAAATATCCAAATAGCGAAGAAATTTTGATGACATGATCGAATGCCAAGAGTGTTAAATCTCCGCGAAAAATCTGTTTTCATTATCGACGGGTAAATTACAACTCCACAGAAAGTGGTTGAGAACCATTTTTCCACCTTTCACCTTTTCCCTAAATAAGCACATTATATGCTATATCGAATGATTACGTAGTAAAATATAAGTCGAGAGGAATTTTGAGGAAATTACTCAAATAAACTGATTATGACCGTTAAATAAAGGATTATCAGTCAACGTTATGACTAAAACGATTTCTCTTTTCAATTTTGAAGATAAAAGACAATTCGGCAACCTGTTGGGTACACGTGACGTACCACTGTTATCTGCGATAGCGAAGCCGTATTCCCAAATTAGTTGTAATATATTAGTGTTTTCGACGCAGAACAGTGCGCTAGTTTGATCGTCCTCACGAAGCCCCTAAAACCGCTTGTTCACGTAAGTATTTTGTTTTTTGAGCAAAAAATTATGTTGAAGAAACCTAAATGACTTCTATGTTATTTTTGGAATTTGCAACCCTAATTTTATATGTGTGTGTGTTAGTGTCGCATTTTTATTCTAATCCAGGGCCTTCGCCACTTATGGGCTAGAGACACTTTTTTTTTAGAAATGCCGCCGTTTTGTAAAATTTGCTCTCATTTGGCCACAATCGAAATTAATTTGTAGGTACCCATCTGTAAATTAAATCCCCTTTCGCAATGAATAGGTAGGAATATGTTTTCCAAATTAAAATCCACGAGTTTTAAAGATATTCTTAACGTGCCTATTTTCAGCACTTCAGCACCTTTATAGGGTTCCATTGCTTCCAGTGTTGTTGGTATACCTTTGAGAAAAAATGAATCGGCAACCTCTTAGTTGTTAGCCCAAATCAATTTTTGTTTAAAAAAAGATCTTACTCTTCAATTTATTTTCCACATAGAACATGAATTGCTAATATTTTATTGCGATTACGCACTTTTCGGCTGTTGCATTTACAAAGAACCGCTATCCGAGCGCAATTTCCCCTGTGTTTGATGTTTTACTAAGCGGATATTGATTGATAACACTTTTATACCTACTACAACTACATTTTGAAAAACCTAGTTTAAACAATGACTCATTCTTTCAAAATACCCGCACGTCCAGTGGCGGAGGTTATTTATTTATTTTTTATATAGGTGAATTGTTTCGATTGGAATATTTACACGGAAGAAGTTTCAATAGCGATTGCTGAAATCCTAAGATTCTACTATTACACCAAACCATTCAAAATGGATAAAATCAACCCTTAAGTTTCAAAATGTACCATTATAAACTTTCAAATTATAATTCCTTTTGGAGGATTACGATTAATTTCTAGTGCGCCCAAAAGGATTAGTATTCACTTAGCCCTTTGAAGTTTAAAAAATAAACCCCTAAAGCGGCAGGGCACCTCGGTATGACCCTATGGGGTCACCGGCTTTATGGTTCAGTGGTAGACCGTTAGACTATAAATCCGGAGGTCGGGTTTCGAACCTGGGTTGAGGCTTTGAAAATAAAATTTTATATTCAAAGGTTGAGGTGAATTTTTCATCTGTGGCAGAGATGGGAATTACCTTACACCAGTTTCGAGCTTTCTGCCTGCTACTCCGAATTAGGTATTCCTGCAGTTTTCCTAATTCGTAAGGTAAATATCAGAATAGTATAGAACAACTTAAGACCTTCTGCAGAGGCACCTCTAAAAAGCATTATCCGGGTCAATCTGATTGGGCACAAGCCTGTTGAGGCCCCAGAACAAGAGAGGGGTAATAAATAAAATAAATAAACAAATAAATTGGATTTGACCCACTGTCAAAAGGCTTTTTAAATGTGGCATAGGGTAAGGTGAACTGTGCAAAGTTTAAACCGAATCGGTTTAAGCGTTTGACAGTTATCGTGTTCACGGACGGACAAACGGACACCATCGACTCCCCTATAAAGCTCGCATCGCTTAGCTCTGCCGCTTAATAAACTTAGCACCTACAAAAATGGTTTCTAATTTCGTTCAACACGTTTCGATTTAGCCCGAGTGTCTTCACTTAGTGACCGTTTCAGACGGCGAAATCCGCCCTCATTCTTTAAAAAAGTACATTCACCACCCGTACAGGAGAGGTTTCAGAATAGAATTCCTTTTAGAAGGTTGCAATCAGCCTGGAGCATGTGTAAAAATTGGCATTCGTTCAAAGACCGTCCAAGGGGGTGAGATCAGCAGTTGAAATTTAAAAAACTCCTTTAACACTCCCCCAAAATAGGTTTCTAATTTCTTGTAGAAAGTTCCCTACGAAAAAATTGGCATTCACTTATCTGTCAACCAATGGGGAGGAATGCGCACGTTTTTTTATTTTGCTAAACCAACATAGCTATATGATGGCGATGCATTCAAACGAATTTCTTTTTTGTCCTCTAACTCGTTCCATAAAAGTCCAATATGGCGTCCATAAGAAATAAAGAAGTACTAGCCTGTAGCTTCTAGATCTATCGTGCTATGGAAACTCTGATAACAAATTCAGATGCCTTAGCGGGAACCGTTCTACCGCTTAAGCATATGCTCATTTTCAGCTTTTCGTTGATATCTTGTTAGTTTCAAAGATTTTTCAAGAATTTCAAATGCGTTTTTGTAGTCCCAAAAAGGAGCAATTTTGCCCCCATTTAACCTACATTGTATCTCTCACTGTTGCGGAGATCCAAATGGTGAGCCTCGAATTTAACCACCCTGTTAATAGTGCTGCTAAGGAGAAGGATACTATTCTGAAAGCTGATCGCTCATTTCTTGAAAGACAGATAATTGAGGCCCATGAAGATATTCAAGAGATTAAATTACATGGTCATTGTTTTCCATGTACATATAAAGGTTCGAGCTCCTAGCGAGTTCATAATTTTGCGGTGTCTGTCCATCTGCCTGTCCGTTAGCATGACGTCTTGAAAACGAATAGACCGATTATGATTATATGTTGCAGGTGGGTTCTTTATCAAATTCATAGATCGGAGTTCGTGAATTGGCAATGTAGGCCAAAAAATGAGGACGGACTTTTTGACGTCTCCGTTAGGTATGAACCAAATTGTATGAAATTCAAAATGAGGCTTTAGCGCAAGGAGCTCCTTTGCTATATTTGTTTAATTTATTAAACTTACGGTTCCGTATTATTATTGTTGTTAAAAATCCACGAAGTTAATAATAAAAGCGGCATTTGAAACACACTGTACACTAAACAATCGAGGAAAATTAAAATGTATGATGCGATTTCCAATTGTCGGAATGTGCTTTATTATTTTGATTTGTTTTATCAAATTATCTTTAACAGTTTTCAAGTTATAACGAAAAACGTTTGGCCGCCATTTTGTTTTGCCGAATTTTCGGTCAAGACAAATTCAGCTGGGCATTCTACTGATTCGGATTCATCATACCTACTCGAATTATGGTAAAAACAACGGATGCCCACTTTTCCGCACAAATGCCGACAACTTCGTGAATATAGCTCTTTTTAAATTTCTTGTCCTGTCTAGTAGAGACAAACGATTTTATTCTTTTATTTGTGTTATGCGCTATATTCCCAGGGTTCGTCGAGTAACTTAGTAAGACTACTATAATAACCTTATTTGTATATGGAAGTAAAAAAAAGTAGTAATCTCTATGTAAACATATCTTTTTAATGCATATTTTAATGTACCTATCTATTATAAGTATACAGCGTTTCCCAACTCCCGGGAGAGCGGTATGAGTTTCAAACGAGCAAAAAAACTGAAAATATCGGGATCAATGAAGGGTTATAAAAACTATATTTTAGACGGTTGAAAACCTCAAAGTTTTTAAATTTTACAACCCCTGTCGAGTTTCATCTATTTTCACAGTTTTGTAACTGTCGATGTGTTAAGTTAATAGTCTTGACTTATGGCAAAAAATCACTGGATATCAATCATATCGGAAGTACAACGACGCTGCACGGGGCCTTTCGGGCGTTGGAGTCCGGGGATATTGCATCTGTTGCCCCCCTCTCTCGAAGGCCCTGCGATGTTACTTTCACACATTACTCAAAGTGGCTAAAGTAGATTGCTCATATTATTTTTTTTATTTGCAGGTGAAACATCCAAGACCAAAAAGACCACCGAAGTCCCATCTAGCGTTATATTACATGGAGAAACAAATTAAAAATTGCATGTTGTTCTCAAGCTTAATTTATTTCTGATGGAAAAAAACCTGAATTATTTAAATAAGTGTAATTTAAGTGATTTGAGAAGTCAAGGTTTTGAATTCCGAAGATTTGATGATACCTACACTCAAAGATCTAATAGGCGATTAATTGTTCAAGATATGGCAGAATTCATTGAGTTAATTCTGACTCTTGCAAGGTTTTACTGAAAATGGATTTTTACTAATCTTTAATATGGTTCGTCGTGAACAAAGTTCTTTCTGGGCTTGGATGAACCTGTTTTCCCAGTTAAAAATACTACAAATGTTATAACATCAAGCATATGGATTTCCATCTTCGTTATCATACGGCAAGAATGTCATTTTATCAGCTTGTGGAGTACAACAAGGTGACCCGTTAGGACCTTTGTTATTTTGTCTAATGTGCTTGGATAAACTGAAAAGCCTGAAATCTCCTTTTAAAGTTGGCTACCTTGACGATTGGACTTTAGGTGGTGAATTTGACACAGTTTTAGATGATCTCGAATCCATCAAAAATTCAGCTATTGAATTAGGACTACATCTAAATGTAGCAAAATGTGAAGCTTTTTGTACAGGCGGATCCGAAGAACAGAAACAGGATGTTTGTTCTCGTATCCTTCGTGCAGCTCCAGGTATTCAGTTTCCAGATCTGAAATCCTTTATGTTATTGGGATCTCCTCTGAATACATCTTCTATAAAGACTTGTCTTCTAGCCAAATTAGAAAATTTCAAAATTTTGTCGACTCGTTTAAAATTAATATCAGCTCATCATGGACTATTTTTACTCAAGAATTGTCTAGCTGTACCAAAGCTGTTGTACGTTTTACGTACTTCTCCTGCATTCCTTGTTACTGACTGCCTAGCTGCTCTTGATAATGAATTTATAAAAGCTATTGGATCTGTTTGTAATATTGAAATGACTGATACAGTATCGTTACAGTCCAGTCTGCCTGTTNCTTATTGCTGATTCTTTGTCCGACACTATCAATAATTGCATTGATAAAAACTCTTTTGAAAGTTGGAAGCAACTATCTTTGTTTGCATATAAGGTTTTCAAATTACCTGGATCAAAAAAAACTGACCGAAAAACTTCTCTTACTACTGTGATTAAACGAAACCTCAAGAATCTTTCTAATTTAAGTGATACATCAGATCTTTTTGGAGAGGGTAAATCTGCAAACAGAGTTTTTGGAGACGGCGATAATCTTTTAGGTCGTCGGGTTACTTTGAAAATTGAAGCTGGAAATATTAGCGGAGCTGTACGTATTCTATGTTCAGATGACTCTATCGCTGCTTACTCTGAGGATTCCCTTCGAATGCTGGAAATGAAACATCCACTATCTCCCCCTGATATTGATCTCTTGCTTATTCCAGATGATTTGCCACAATTTCCGGAAATTACTTTGAAAGAATTGTTATCTGCTGTAGCAAGTTTTCCTCATGATTCCGCTGGAAGTATCGATGGTTTTCGACCACAACATTTTAAAGATTTGCTTGGAAAGTCATTGGATCTTCAACATCCGTCATATCAGCTTGGATTATCACTAACACGACTTGTGAATTTGATAGTACGAGGGGAAATACCTGAATTCTTCCGTCATATTTTCTTTGGAGCTTCACTGATAGCTCTGAATAAAAAGGCCTATTGCCGTTGGAATGACTCTACGGCGTTTAGTTGCGAAAATCATCTGTTCCCGTGTACATCAGAGAGCTGGAGAGTTTTGTAGACCTTACCAATTGGGTTTTGGAACTAAAGGAGGTGCAGAAGCAGTTGTTCATGGTGCTAGAAGATTCATTGAAGTTAATTCTGACTCTTGCAAGGTTTTACTGAAATTGGATTTTACTAATGCCTTTAATATGGTTCGTCGTGACAAAGTTCTTTCTGCTTGGATGAACCTTTTCCCAGCATACTACAAATTTATACATCAAGCCTATGGATTTCCATCTTCGTTATCATACGGCAAGAATGTCATTTTATCAGCTTGTGGAGTACAACAAGGTGACCCGTTAGGACCTTTGTTATTTTGTCTAATGTGCTTGGATAAACTGAAAACCTGAAATCTCCTTTTAAAGTTGGCTACCTTGACGATTGGACTTTAGGTGGTGAATTTGACACAGTTTTAGATGATCTCTAATCCATCAAAAATTCAACTATTGAATTAGGACTGCATCTAAATGTAGCAAAATGTGAAGCTTTTTGTACAGGCGGATCCGAAGAACAGAAACAGGAGGTTTTTTCTCGTATCCTTCGTGCAGCTCCAGGTATTCAGTTTCCAGATCTGAAATCCTTTATGTTATTGGGATCTCCTCTGAATACATCCTCTATAAAGACTTGTCTTATGGCCAAATTAGAAAATTTCAAAATTTTGTCGACTCGTTTAAAATTAATATCAGCTCATCATGGACTATTTTTACTCAAGAATTGTCTAGCTGTACCAAAGCTGTTGTACGTTTTACGTACATCTCCTGCATTCCTTGTTACTGACTGCCTAGCTGCTCTTGATAATGAATTTATAAAAGCTATTGGATCTGTTTGTAATATTGAAATGACTGATACAGTATCGTTACAGTCCAGTCTGCCTGTTAATAATAGTGGTTTGGGAGTCAGAAGTACGGAAAGATTAGCTCTTCCAGCCTATTTGGCTTCGATCTTTTACGTGCTTCCTGTCGTTTCTCAGATTATTGATTTCAATGATGCAGAATGGATTTCTGATACAATTAACCAATGGAAGATACTTGCTGAATCTCAAGAACCTGTTGAAGAAATTCGTCACATCCAAAAATTTTGGGACACTCCTTTGGTTGAAAAGTTATTCGATCAATTGTTCAATAAATTCGTCAATGATCCAGTACACCAAGCAAGGCTGTTAGCACTGAAAGAAAAAGAGTCAGGCGCTTGGTTACAAGCTCTTCCTGCAAGGCAAATCTCCACACATCTTGAAGATTCTGTTTTGCAGATAAGTGTTGCTTTACGCTTAGGTGCTACAGTTTGTACTCCTCATATTTGTAAATGTGGTGCCAATGTGGATAAGTTTGGGCATCATGGTTTATCTTGTCAGAAGAACACAGGAAAGTACAGTCGCCATCGAAACATCTTAGAATGTCAGAAAAGAGCATTCCATGAGGCTGGTTATTCAGTCATCTTAGAACCTCCTCGTCTTTTTGGAATTGATAAAAAACGACCCGATGGGAGAACTTTAACACCTTGGATGGAAGGAAGATGTCTGGCATGGGACTTTACTTGTGTTGATACCTTATGTCCTTCATATCTCTTCTCCTCGGTGAAGAAAGCAGGTTCTGCAGCCGCTTTAGCTGAACGCAGAAAGAAAAATACTTACGCTGCTTTAGAACCTACATTTATTTTTAACGGATTCGCTGTAGAAACCATGGGTCCGTGGGGAAATGAAGCCAAAATGATGACAGCGGCAATTGGTAAAAGACTCAGGCAAAAAACAGGAGAGTCCCGCTCAACCCAGTTTATTTACCAACGGATAGGTATAGAAATTCAAAAAGGCAACGCCGAATGTGTTTTAGGAACTTTACCTTTTTTTAGTAATTCTTTTCATGAAATTTATTATGTTTTAAAACCTGGTTCTTATATGTAATTTGTTCTTGTTCTATTATTTTCATTAAACAATTTGTAAAAAAAAAAAAAAAAAAAAAAAAAAAAAAAAAAAAAAAAAAAAACCAAACATGTGTACCATGCAACTTCACCAGAGGCTTGTTTGGAAAGAACCAAACGCGGGAAATTCTTTAAAGGTAATTACGCGTGCGCACTTGCGTAGTTCTGGTAATACGAAAAACAGTAAGGTATACAGGGTGCATGCATTTATGTGAAACAAAGCAAATTCAATTATGCTTAACATTGATTTTGATGAATCAACATATTTTAATCGTTACCTTGACGCTTATATTTATCTAAAGAGTTATTCTTACCTTGGACAGTTCATACCCAAATCAGTCTGTGAATTTAAACCGCAGCTAAAAAACGAGGAGCATAGATATAGATGAGGTTCAAAAAATTAAAAAATGTTAGATCGCAGTACGATATTAACTATTAACACTATATATTAAAAAATTAGAGGGTTAGCTCATAATTAATATTTAATAATGTTAAGCAACTATTTTATAGTCTTGAAGTGGTCTCCTATAAGGCCCTTAGGTGCTTGCACCGTGGCCTTAGCGAAGTATCGAAAGCAGTTCGTGTTATCAGGATTAAGTGAAGATTTTGAGGCTATCAGCGAGTGTTTGTTTAATTTTTTATGCGCCAGAATATCGCCGTTAAAGACCAGATTATTGGATTATTAAAAACTGTAAGTAATCGAGATCTCTTTATAATTACTTGTTTATCGATCGCTTGCGTGTGTGGTATTAATCTGGATCTAGCTCTGAAAGCCTATCTTTCTTTCGGCTTATGTGCTTACTTTTTCGATGTCTAGTGAATAAATTAAAATAATAAATAAAATAAATAAATCAAGCCGCTGTGTGTTTAATCGAAAGTGTGACTCACATTAGAATTTTTGTCAAATTTGATGTTCGTGCTCAGAGTTATGCTAGGTGTTATTCAAAATTTGTTTGCCGTTGACCTCAGAGTTGTGTTGTTGAAAGTAATCAAGGCTGCCGAAGTTTCTAGCTGTAGACTGTGTTTTATGAGTGGCTTAGTAACCGCGTTTGCTATTTTGTACAGAAATACATTACTATAAGGAACATTTTATCAAGACGAGTGTACATATGTACAAGGGGCATTACCATTGAATTTATCTCGGAATTAATAATGGTATTACTTATGTATCACCCTGTACATGACGATGCTAAAATGTGCGCAGCGCATGCGCATTGAACAATTGTGGACTTATTATAACCTGTAATTTTGTTTAAGGTTAATCTCTTATTTTTCACAAAAATTAATTCCGAAAATGGCTAATGGCCCTATAGCTGAAAGAAATAGAGGTAGCTATTGCACTTTTATGTAAAGTTGAATTTCAAGCCTTCAATTTCAGATGCCACCATTTATGTGGGAGGTTTAGATGATAAAGTGACCGAATCGCTATTATGGGAGCTTTTTGTTCAAGGGGGACCTCTGGGTAAGTCGCTTATACAAAACCATATGAAATACATATAGCCACATTTTAGTGAACGTTCACATGCCCAAAGATCGCGTAACGATGATGCATCAGGGTTACGGGTTTGTGGAGTTTATGGGTGAAGAAGATGCGGATTATGCTATTAAAATTATGAACATGATAAAGCTGTATGGGAAACCTATTAGAGTAAATAAAGCATCCGCTCATCAAAAGAATTTGGATGTGGGTGCTAATATTTTCATAGGTAATTTGGATCCTGAAGTTGATGAGAAACTGTTGTACGATACTTTCTCGGCTTTTGGCGTCATACTTCAAACACCAAAGGTAATTTGTTACGATGCGTATCAAACTTTGATAAAAACTTTTAGATAATGAGAGATCCAGAAACTGGCAATTCTAAAGGATTTGCATTTATAAATTTTGCTAGTTTTGAAGCATCTGATGCGTCTATAGAAGCTATGAATGGGCAGTACCTGTGCAATCGTCCCATATCTGTATCATACGCATTTAAAAAAGATGCTAAAGGTGAAAGGCATGGTTCCGCTGCTGAGCGTTTACTGGCAGCCCAGAATCCACTATCGCAAGCAGATAGACCCCATCAGTTGTTTGCGGATGCTCCGCCTATGACTATGATGCCACCAGGACTGGCGTTGGCTCCACCTCCTCCACCGGTAATCCTGGCAGGAATGATGCCACCTCCTCCTCCTACGCCCACAAACATGCCCCCACCACCTCCTCCTCCTGTCCCTCCACCAAATGCCTTCCCCTCGGGCATTCCCCCACCACCATTACCTCCTTCACAGCCACCTTTACCACCCGGCGCACCTCCCGTCAACCCCCTCGCACCTCGACCACCGTTGCCACCCATTCCCAACAGTCAGGGTGCGCCTCCGCCGCCTAGAATGATGCCGCCCCCTCCGAACTGGCAAGGACCACCCGGCCAACCATTTCCGGGAAGCTTTCCTCCTCCACCTCCGCCCTCTGGCAGACCACCGCCGCCGCCAAACTGGAGGCCGCCACCGCCCGGGTTTGGTGTACCTCCTGGTGCAAGACCTCCGTTCCCGCCTCGGGGTCCACCTCCGCCCCCTCCTGCGCAATTTGAGGGAAATTTTACTGAAAATGCATGGTAATTATTTTTATGACTAATTGTGGAATTTTTGACTAAGAAATAAAGAGAAGTTTGTGTAATGCTTCAATGTTATTGTGACTAGCAAAGAGTAACTAAATTATTCTTTGCCTCTAGTAAGCCAAGAATAGGCACATGAAAAAATGTAGAATGGGTTCCTTGATCATCCTAAAGCTCTCTGCAGACGGGGACAATAGTGGCGTCCAGTACTAGCGGCCAGAACTGGCAGCCAGTGAACTGACTGAACAGTAGGCTTCCACATGAGGGCAGTATTGGCTTCCAGTATTATGTACTTTAATGGCTGCCATTAGTCTGTTCATTGTGGATGTGGTGACGTTTCGGGCAACCTTATTACATTACTGTAATTTAATTATTGTCAATATGATGTGTCTGAACATGGAGGAGGTTGACGAAGAATACGAGAAAGGTGTTGATGAAGCTATAAGTGAAACTGTCCATTGTTTAAGTGATGAACTGAAAGAAATTAACCAAAAAACAGGGCGTGCAGGGTGAAAGACTGGGTGGGTCGTAGAGATCGCCTCGGAGCTTCGTCAACAATATTTCGGGAACTTGCCGAGGAGGATCCTCTGGAATTCAAGAGAATTTTAAGAATGAGTGTGGGACAATTTAACGAACTTTTAAATCTATTGTGTGATCAAAACTCTCTAAACCTTCCCCATATAGTTAACTATATGGGGAAGGTTTACAAGTTTTGATCACACAATATATTTCAACCCCCATTTCGAGGAACGATGGATCCAACCCAAAAAAAAAAAAACTTTTAAATCTAATTGAACCTAAAATTAAAAAAAAGGATACGCTAATGAGAAACGCAATTCCTGCCCGTCCAAAACTAGAGATTGCCTTAAGATTTTTGGCTAGTGGTGACAGTTACCAAACTCTAGCAATCATGTTTCGAATACCAGCAAACACTATTTCTAGTTTTATGCCAGAAGTACTTCCTCAGGTTTGGGACACATTTAGCAACAAAAACACTGAATTAGTTCCTCTCCCAGCAGAGTCCGGCGACGCACTGGCAGCCAGTACCCATTTAGCAACGTCCAATAATGGCAGCCACTAGGTCACGTGACCCGAACTAGCCCTCCCAGCGTCCACTAAACTCAAACCTGTTTGACTTTGGTGGCCGCCAGTGGCTTACTGGACGTTGGAGCGGCAATACCCTTGCACACGAGGACAATAGAGGGATAATTACAGGCCTCCATTAATGGCTAGTACTACTGGACGCCACTATTGTCCCCGTCTGCAGAGAGCTTTAGTTACATACAAAATCAGTCTAACTTATGAGTAATGTTAATTTAATTAGTGTCAAGTTTCCAAATTTCCATCCAAATTTTAAACTAAAAACATATTTGAGCAAAGTATTAGCAATTCATTAATTTTAGCGCATTTTCCAACTCATGCTGGAAAGCGAAGGCGCTATTATGGCTTTCTCCGTCCTTAACTACTCTTACAGTTTTCAAGATATTTATTATTTAGTTCGTTTTTTTTGCATTCGGTAGCGTATAGCTCTGGCACCCAAATTAAAGAAAAATCTTGACAATTAATGAGCGCCTGCGCATTGTGAAATGTCATCTCTTATTTATTGGGATATTTTTATGAAATTGTAACCAAAGGTTCTTCTTACCAGTAAAGGCAAGCATATCGCATATTTTTTTTCAGGTGTGCGCATGCGCAGTCTGCCCAAAGCTAAATATAAGAATATTTATGCCACAACTTATTTTCCTTTGTATACCTAAAGAGATCTTTTCATTACTTTTCGGGAAGTACTGTAGTCAGTTCACAGAAAATGCGCTAAAATGACTCTCCTTAAGATGAAATCTTTTTTCATTAAATAATTAAATAAATATCGTATTTTTGGAATATTTCAAGGAAGAATTAAAATTTTGTAGGGACAATGCAAAATTTGAATATCTCAGGTTGCTGTTGTGGTAGTTCATGGGCTGTTTCTATACCATCGGAAGATGTGTTTCCAAATTTATAGAAACTCAGTTTTTATAATAATAAGTGTGGTTAGAATGTATACTGGGTATTTACATTGACGCGCCGTTTAGTGAATCGCCATCAATATTTGTGTGCAGCTGGCTAAGTGATCTAAATTTCCATTCTATATTTTTCTCTCGTCACGTACCCTACGATAATCTTGCCATACATTATATTAACCAAACTGCAGTTGACTATGGAAAATCAAAATAAAAAAATGAAATGAAACATTTGGATACTTGCTTATAAAAAGTACATTGTTGGAAGTAATAATCCGATGACCGTTAAGCTATGGTTCCATTTTTCAGTCGAGGGAAAAATTGCAAAAACGTCTTATGTATAGTCATCGACAAAAGTAATGATTGTCGAATAGGTAAATCCTGCAGCGTATGCCACCAACAATTGAATATATTGTGCAACTTGGAAATGTTCACCAACAAATTTAGGTATCTCCTACTAGAAGAAACCAATGGACCCGGATGTGATAGGCATGCTGGTTGCTTATGCGTAGTTTACCTATTGTTGTCTGTGCTATTAGGCAATCATTACTTTTGTCAATGACTGTACAATGGGAAACAAACAAAGTAAATCGCATCTTTTATTGAAATAATTTTAACATCTTTTAGTAAAATTTGAGCAATTTGTTGTAATTTATCATTATTCATTTTAATAAAATTGCGTATTGTATTACTGTATGGCCCCATGGCATATTCAGCTTGCGAGTTGGTAATAACTAGGAAAATTCCTCGCATATTTCGATCCGTATGTTCGCCCATAATTGTTTGATTACCCGATTTCCAACAACGTCCGATCAAATACTCCCAAAACGATGAGCACGACCAACCCCAAAATCCGGGAACACTGTTGATCGATTCTGCATAATAAATTGGAGCTCGATGATGGCTACAGGCGAGGACATCTGTAACTTAAAATTAAACTCCCTTAATGCTTGATGAAAAGCGTTACTTCCTTCCTGCATACAACCGGGTTGTATAATCCCTCCGTTTACAAAAAAGTCTATATGACCGGACTGTAGAGGTGTTCCTTGCATAAACGCATTCGTGTGAATAACGTCGACAAAGTCTGCATCACTTGAATCCAACTTATTTTCGTTAGCAGCGGTTGCAAAACCAGGTAGTGCTGGATCTAACCCAGTGATTCGTTTAACTTTTTTCGAAGCGTAGTTCGAAGCAAAGGCAGCAACATGAGAACCTTAAATTGTACAGTGATGTATAAAAACGAATATACGTATCGTTACCTAGGCTAAATCCGAGCAAATGTACGTTTGAGGTGCTTATACATCGTATCGCATCTATTAGTTGTGAGAGACAATTTCCTACCATCCTGCAATTCCACACAGCAGCAGGATAGCATGGTCCTTTAGCATAATCGCTCCAGTCTATTAAGATTACGTTCAACTTGCCACTTTTAAAATATTCTGTAAAATAATTTATATGACAGGATCAATGATGTGGTTAGCAGAGTAGTATCAATCGAACGGAAATCGACATAGTGAATAATGTTCTTATTTAGGGTCCTTGAAATTTAGTGCTTCTCTCTCTATATTCTCTCAACTTCCTATATACCTACTTAGCAGAGGAGCATTTGTATGAATGAACAAAAAAAATTAGCTCCCAAACAACTTTGTGTCCGGAATATACGCCATCATCATTTCGTCCAGACCTTCCATTTTCCTTTTGTTTGTATTCGTGTGCAAAGCTGTTCTAGAAACATTGCATTTGCGATTGTGAACCCCACCTAAGATAGGTCTCGTCTTATCACTTTCCTTTTCTCTTGCCAGAGGGATGGGGCAGGAGATGAATGCCCATAGCCCATAGAGTACAATGAAGGATAGATTTATTAATTTATTAATATGGCGGCCAAGTCGCCACAGTATTTCATAAAATAGTTGGTGGGGGGGGGGGGGGGCAACAAACCAATTATTTTAAGGGCATCTACAAATTTTTGTAATTCTTAAGAAACGCATTACAAAATTAATTTTCAACCCCATTTTTGACCAGTGGTATAAATTATAGTTAAGTAATGCTACAGTACAGTTCTTATGAGAGCTCTTGTCATCATCATTGATGGTGAGGACGTAGTTTCTTAACTGTCCAGTAGATATAACCACCTGCACCTATTCACCGTTGAGGGGTGGTCATAAAAAAACCTCCTACGTCAGGAAAAGAGTTCTACGCCTATTTCACTGTGAATTTGTTAAATAACCCATTGCTTTCAAATGCCTAAGAGTTAATAGTGATGTATTGAAACGCCAGCACCTTGACGGTTTACGTATTTGGCGACCTCTGCAACCATTTTCCAGCTGTCATTTTAAATACCAATGCAAGCAATTTCCAATTGAGGCATATCCATTGAATAACGAAATCATTCATTTTTCACTCAAATCTATAACTAAAAATAAAGGATCTAAATCAGCCCTTAATTAATCCCTATGCCAATTTCGGTTTTATGGATAATGGAGCTAGATATAGTTACCAGTTTTAATTCCATTTAATACTCCTAAAAACATATCCGAATTGTACCCATGTATCAAAATCTTCGTCTCAAGTGAAACATTAAAGGCTGTTTGTAATAAATTACTCGAACTCTTGTTCACTACTATCTGCTCTCCTTCAACCTGATTATTTGTGTACAAATAGAAGGTAACATTTGACTGTCCACAATTCCTAAAAACTATTCATATAAAAGTGACAGATCAAAACAAAGATTTACCTTCCCAGGCGAAAATTACAAATTCCAATGTTAAGTGTAGTCCCTTTGACATTCGATGAATTTCCTATTGCACTGGAATCTGAGCTTGCACACAATAAAGCTATAAATAACATGGGAGTATTAATGGACCTTAATTTACAGTTAACATACTTATACACATATTAATAACAAATAAATAGGCAACAATTAACATTGTGTTTCATTTGATGGCTAAATGTAATTAAGCAAGCACCACGACCTTATCATAGTATCCTTTCAGACTCGTGTAGGTATAATTGTATTTTAATTATACTACTGCTGTAGTGCACATTATTTAAAACAACTGTCCTCTAAACGTACGTGAGAAGAATATGTTTTTCTGGATATAGTATGTTGACAGTTATACGCAGGGAAACGTAAACGTGCGTATTGAAGCGCTTGTAATATTCGGTAGATAATCAATACCTAGTTGGCCATTTTTTGAAAAAAATAGTTTTAGGATGCGCACAGAGGGGCACCATTGTAACTGATGTTGCTCGTAATCAATTACTCATACATAAAAATTAGGAACGTGTTTTTTGAACACCCCATAAAGCAGGAAGGGTTGAGGGTTACACCCTTTCTGACTAGAGGGTTAATTCTAACACACCGCGCGTTTATTGCCTGTGCCGATTTGTTTGAATTGGACCATGCGCGGTGAGGTTAATATTGAGGATATAAGAAAGTAGGTAATTTTTAAACTTGTTTAATTCGTAAGAAGAATGGGGGATAACCTCTTGAAGCAAACGTTGTCGTCACGTCAGGTACTAAGACTAAAGGATCAAACCCGAATAGGATTTTGTGAGGAGCAACGGATTTTAGCCTTTTAAGCTCTATTTCGATTCCGCATTGACGGGTATTTCCCCGCTTAAAAAATCCCGCGCCTGTTATATACCGCCATCTATGACAAAAATTCGTATAGGTACGTAGTCAGAAAGAGAGTTGAGCACATGGTATAATACAAGTTGAGCATATAAATGTAGGTACAAGCCTTGAATACAACTTAATTTTTTATTCAATGGTACAAGCATTGTACGAGTATTTATAAACGAAAATACAATGGTACAAGGCTATTATTCAATGGTTTGTAACCACGTCTTGTTTTGTGCTTACCTAATTAATGCATCAGGGTGTCCTACACATAAAGATTTGGCATTTGTTTGATTAGTCCCATTTTGCTCATTTATGAACTTATCGATTAAAAGTTATCGAAGTCCTCGTGTGAGATCGAAGGGATTTCAGCGCATTTTTGTGTGGCAGATCAGTATTCTATCAGCCAGTCTTGACTCCACCATTAATAGGACCTTGTCGAGGACAACCACATTCCCTTTGTCGGTACCCGCTTCCGACGTCCCATGCACCCACAATCCGCGTTTGAAGTTTTGACTCCACCATCAGTAAGATCTTGTCGGGGGCAATCACGTTCCCTTTGGCGGTATCGGTATCCACTTCCGACGTCCCGTTCACCCGCAATTCGTATTTTGCTGGATTTTGCTAAAAACCCGCAACAAAATAGTAGCATATAGTAGTAGTCAATTTTTGGATACTGCTCATAGCTCGATCTTCTATTGGCGATCCGAGAAAGAGATACCACTATTAGTGCTCTAAGACACTTTTGGGCACTCAAAGTTGACTACCCCTCGAAGACGCGCACCTTGCAAAAGGTGGTTAATTACGCCCCTAGGGAAAAAAATAAATATATTCCGCCGTGCAAGAGTTGTGCACGTTTACAAGAACTTTCCGACGAGACCTATTTGAAAACAATCGCATCAAAATTGTATGAAAAGATACAAGATAAAACTGAAAAATACCCAGGTTCGTATAACATGCTCGACGATGGCGTCCAGGTGTCGCGGTCCCCACATAATGTAGCCCCAGTCTCGAACAAGAGTCGCACGGGAAAGTTGGCACCACTAAAGGCATGCGTATGCAAAATCTGAGACCAATTGGTTGTCGTATGTAAAAGTTATGCACGTTTTACTTTATTCGTGGGGGGGCCCCCCTTTTAAACAGCGAAATTTGATGGCCGTCTGGCACCCCTTCAATGTATAAGCTACCTACTGCAAAAAATTCCAGGACTCTAGGACCATTCCCCTAGAAGTAGTTCAAAACGGCAAAAGTGGGTCACGACGGACGGTCGGACGGATAAAAAGCAAACAACAGCACATTTTTTTTTTAATTCTTAAAAAATGCACTAAAAAATTTGTTGGCCATGATTTACCTACCGCATTTGTCACCTAACTGTCATCTCTAATAAACACGCCAACATGAATAATAATTATTACACTACAGAAGAAAAGGTCTTTATTGCAAAATCGTTTGATACTGGGAATAATACACGGCGAAGTTCGTGATTTATTTTCAGTTAAGTTTGATGACCCCTTTATAGTGTAATTATTTCACCCTTTCGTGATTGAAGTGAGATGATAGTCAAAGGAACGATGTGTTGTCAGAGACTTGTTACGTCTCTGTTTGTTGTAGGTACCTAGCAAGCGCGACACGTCGCCATGGCCTACCAATTTTTAGGATTTTTAATTTAATTTTCAGGCTTGCAAGAGACCTCACAGTTGCGTATTTTTATATCATCCGATGAATATTTTAATTATCTATCCGAGGATGTTTTTATTTTTCCTGTAGGCTGTAGGATGAAATGGGGAGCAGGTATTGCCGAAAATGTATTTTCCCATGTTATTTCCCTATGTCCCGCCGTTAACTTGCCACACTGGATACAATGCTTATACATAGGTAGACGTTATGTAAAACAATACAGTGTATGAATATCAACGTGAAAAATATCGGAATAATATTGGCTAAATTTAATTTAACGCTAAAACGCTATATCGTCAAGAAGAGCAAAGAACCACCACCACTATGTCCTCAATGTGCAGTTGACCTCACCGTGGGCCACATTATGTTGGAGTGTCCCACCTACGCTGCTCCTCGTCGGTCATTTGGAGTCGCCAACAACCTACAGGAAGCCGAAGCCCTAAATTCAAATGGCGCCGCCACACTTACTGCCACAGTCCAGTACCTTAAAGTGACCAACCTGATCAATAAACTGTAAAAAATAATAATGTAGTTTTAAGGTGCTAAAAACAAAGGTTGATGTACCTCCAAATAAATCGTCAATAAAAAAAAAAGATTCGGCGTTTTAGCGTTAGATGAAATTTAGTCAATATAATCCCGATATTTTTCACGTTGATATTCATACACTGTGTTGTTTTACATATCTACTGCATTGAATTTATAACTATCTCTACTGCATAGACATAATATGTCTATGATTTATTGTCATTTGAATATACGGCAAGGACTGCGTTTGTGGTGATGGTACTAACGGGCGATCAAAAATGAGTTGCAGTCGAGTCGCCTTTGGAAGTTCAAGTTAAGTACGATTTCCCATGGAAACAAAAATTCCAAAGGTGGCTCGAGAGCAACTCATTTTTGATCGCATAGTATAAAGAACACCAGCCAGAATACAGTCTTTCCGCCTGATTAAAGGCAACACAGTGTACACATTTTAAGTTTATATATTGTATTCTCATTATCATAAGTGTGGTCTTATGCTCCTGTTCTTATCTGCATAATTGCAATTACTTATTACATAAAAGAATATTTTGTTATGAGCTGTTCCTCATTAGACCCAAGTCTTGCGTATCCGAACTGAAGCATTTTCGCGACTTTCTTAAAATCGTTCTAGGCTCTCAGAGTACCTAAGTCATTTCTTATTCTAAGCAAAGAGTTAAGTATTCTTTGCTCTAAGGTTCTAGGGCTTCGAGTGGAAGGTACGCAACGTGCATACGAAGTCAGATTTGGTACATACGCTTCCTATATAAATCCACAGACATTGTTTAAATACTTTATAGTTTATTTAAACAATGCCACAGACAACATATACTATTGTTGTTTGTGATAAAACGGTCTTTAATTTTTTCAAAACAAAGAAGTATGATCTTTACTCAACGGTAATTTATCATTGATAATTTGATATGCTCAAAGATAATAGTGTAGCTGTAGTATTATCGTTGAATAAGTAAATTGAATGGTATTATCTTTAATTTACTGAAATCTTTGAATTGTTGCAGAACCAGCGCCAGCTGGTGAAAAATTTAGTTCAGTTTGTAAGTGTTTGTTACTTCTCATTATAGATGTCGCTGATTATTTTGGTGTGTGCACTAACCTGCCTGACCAAATGACGTTGCAACCAGCTGATAGTTTATTACTTCCTAGTTTTTTTTTGCATTTTTATTACTCCTGCAACTGTCAACTAGAACGTGACTCATAAACAGAAGAAATTAGTGATTCGTGCATTCGCTTCGAGTGCAAACATGAAGCAAAAAATTGATTTAGAGCAGTGCCTAAGTGATTCTCCTAAATTTAGGTAAGTATTTAGAATTATTGTAATTTTGCATAAGGACCTAAAATTTGTAGGCAACTGTTAGAAGAGGAAGAAGCTAGTATTGATCAGTTGGAAACAAAATTGGAAAAAATCTTGAAGATGTGTGGTAGCATGGTCGATACCGGAAAAACATATGTCGCTCATCAAAGGTACGTAACGATCTGCCTTTTCGTTCAATGTGCACTTATGTTATTAACTTGTAGCTTATTCGCTAATAGCTTATGGGATCTGAGCACTCACTTTCGCGAGGATTCCCAAGTGTTGGCCGCGTTAAACAAATTAATCCACAGTCTGCAAGAGATGAACAAGTTTCATACCATTCTTTTAGATCAGGCTTCAAGAACGATCCTTAAGAATCTAACATCATTTGTTAAAAAGTGAGTACGTATTTGCCTGACTCGTCTTTAAATTGTTTAATTTTAGCGACATCAAACACGTCAAAGACAGCAAGCAGCATTTTGAGAAAATTTCCTCGGAGAACGATAACGTATTAGTTCGAAATTCGCAAATGGCGAAAAGTAAACAGAACGAGGTCGAAGAAGTTCAAAATTTATTGGTAGCCACACGGTCGTGTTTTCGGCATCAAACTCTTGATTATGTTTCCAGTGTGTGGACATTGCAAGCAAAGAAACGACACGAAATATTGGACACAGTGAGTTTCTTCAGCTTGGAATTTGTTTATATACAAATTCTTGGTAAAAGTGAATTTATCCTCTGTTTTTGTGATGAATAGTTGCCATTGTTTATTATGAGTCAAAGTGATAAATCTGCCTTTAATATTCTTCTAATCTTGTGTTCCTAAATTAGCTTAAGATAAGCTTTTCTTATATTGGCTTCCTTCACTGTGAGTCATGGTTTGCATGTGAAGATTAATTACTATGTTTAATGGGCACCCTGAATGATTCATTTGAAGGACATTCATTTTTAAAGAGTTTATTATAATATAATCACCTGATCTGATTTGTAAAGTGTTCAGTGTTGGATAAGAATTCAGATTCATAGAGTCCACAGTTTGCAGTGTGCAACTTTCAGTTTTTTAGTCTTTTGTTTTAAGGGCTTTCTTTAAATTTAATCTCCCTTTTTCCATGTACATATTCAATAAGTGAAATGCCATCATACTCCAAAAACATTGTTGCTATCAGTTTTCCGTACGAAGAATGGGGTTTTTGGGGGTGGAGAGCTTTTATGGAACAACTGCATTGATCCCTGTTTTGTGGGAGAGTATAAGAATCAGTATCTTTATTACATGCCAAAGGACTAAATGTTTTATTCCTGAGGGTAACAAGGATGTATGGGATTAAGATGCATTTCAGTCCTGTAGAGTATAGGTACACTGTAGTGCAGCGGAGAGCCGGCGCTAACTCGCTTATTTGAGGTAGTTTTTTTTTCGGAGTAGAAAGAATTGGGACCCACACCATTTTGTTCAGAAATGTTTGAACCTTCAGAGTCTCGCTTTACGACATTTTCCCGTTGTCCTGACAAAAGTTATAGGCCGCTAAAGTTGAACTTTACTCATTTTCGCGCGCGCGACTACACCCCCGAAAGTATTTATTTTCTCAGCAACTAAGCGATATACATCAATAATTCCTTTTGTAAAATGAAAGTACATTTATAGCAGAATCTAAAGCATTCATATTTACCTACCTTGTTATGCACAGTTTTTAGAAAAAAGAACGTCAACTTCCAAGATTCGTGTAGCAGATGAAAAGTGCGCACTTTGAACTATCATAACTCTTTATTTCACAATATCGATTTCCAATATTTATTGCTCATTCGATGCTCCAAAGCATTGTGATTATTTTATTTCCTATACCATTACAGTGAATTTTTCATAATAAAAAAGTTACGGTCATTTAAGTAAAAACCTACCGACCTCGCCGAGTCGGGAGTCGCGAGCGAGACGGAGAGGGAAGGATAGTCAGCAGCGTTCGCGCAAGAAGGAGCGATGCGTAAGAGGTGTACTCTACTAAGAAATTTGTCTCCGAATAGTTTACCAAAACTAGCCATATAGGCCGTTTACAAATGCATTCCGCCGAGTTGCATTGTAAAATTTCAAACAATTCATTACCTCCTTGTATATCAGCTCATTGGTGAAATATACAGGATGTTACATATAAGAAATTAAAAAATTTGGGTGGTAACTGGGAAAGGGGACAAAAACAAGCATTTTTTCCAAATAAACCGAGGGTTCAACGTATTTCGTTTAGGAGCCACCCTCAAAAAAGTGGTAAAGTTTCCATTTCTCATTTAATTTTTTTCTCAGCAACCATATAACAGTTACAGAGACTGGTGATAAGTCTTTGAATAGGTTTGCTGTATGCCCTTTCCGATTTTGTAAATAATTTTTCAAAATTCCTACAGGGGTGCGAAAAAAATGTTGATTTCAACGAAATTTGGTATCTGGTGGTTTTTGACTATAAAAATCACGAATCTGAAATTAGGTTTTGAAAATCGAAAAAGATAATTCCACTGTAATTCTTGGCCGGACAACGAAAATGGAGAGAATTCTACGAAGTTTGTTTTGTAGGTACATACGGAACAAAATTGTTGAACAGTTTTTTTTGAGGTCAGAAAATGTTCTCCGACAGTGGCGTAACCAGTACAGTAAACGTCAATATTACACGTTCTGCTAATGGTGTCTACCTACATTTCACAAAAATTATTGATGTATTTCGCTTAGTTGCTGAGAAAATAAATACTTTCGGGGGTCTAGTCGCGCGCGCGAAAAGGAGTAAAGTTCTACTTTAGCGGCCTATAACTTTTGTCAGGACAACGGGAAAATGTCGTAAAGCGAGATTCTGAAGGTTCAAACATTTCTGAACAAAATGGTGTGGGTCCCAATTCTTTCTACTCCGAAAAATTTTTTTGAACGATTTCGCGGGTCTCCGCTGCACTACTGTTATTGTTGTTAGTGTTGGTAATAAGCTATACCAATTTAATTTGCAAATTTGAAAGAAAAAAATTGTGTTTGATTGTGGGATCAAAACACTGGGTCTGTTTAAAAATAGGATTGTGCAGAAATGAATATTCAAAAACTGCTGAAGCTTTGGGTGTTAGCATTCAGTAACTTAACCAGGTCGATAGCATCTTTGATAGGCCACATGGAAGAGCAGTGCTTTCTCACTGAATGTGGTCCTTTTTCCACCTTGTGATATTTGTATTTTTTTATGTATATTTTTTCCCCCTTTTTTGTTTTTTTTTTGGTGGAAATAAACATTACTATTATTATTATTATATTTTTCTATTGGAGTCCACTTGATATTTTCATTGATTATGTTCAGAAACTCTTTCTAAACACGTGGAATTACTATATGACAATAATTAATTCGTGAAGATGTTATGAAGCAATTATTTAATATTCTTATAGTAAAATACCTTGATTAAATACACTTAAACTTAAATCGGATGGATATTTATTGGTTGGTAGAGCAGCTTTGGCTGAAACCCCGTCCACTTAAAAATAAAGACCAAAAATAGATAAATAAATGAAATATGCAATCTATAAATCTCTTAAACATAAAAAAATTTATAAATTGTTTCTATAATTTTTCTAAGTCAGTGATTTTTAGATGCTCTCTTACATGCGTGCCTGTTCCACATATTATCACCAAGGATCTGACTTATGCGAAGATTTAGATCCGTTCTTTAACAAATTAAGCGACGAGGTAATTGGCGTTTTTAAGTTCAGTCTCTCTGCATTGTTGTTTTTAGATTGTGCAACTCCAAGAAGAATCGTACAAGATCGAAAAGGAATTAGAAAATCGTCACACTATCGTTAATAATAAAGAAGTAATTTGTACTTCGTCCGTTAAGGGTGCGCCAATTTTAGAAGGCTATCTGTTTAAACGGACCACAAGTGCTTTCAAAACTTGGAATCGGCGGTGGTTTTATTTATATGACAACAAATTAGTTTATAGGTATGAGGTTTAGGGAGGTGGGTCTGGGTGAACGAGATAATTTTGCAGGAAGAGAACGGGCGAAGAGCATGTGACTGTGATGGAAGATGACCTTAGGATTTGTACTGTAAAACCAATTCTAGAAGGAGAACGGCGGTTCTGCTTTGAAATTGTATCGCCCTCGAAGTAAGAATGAAATTATGTGTTATTTGTAGAGGTAAATCAATTTTTAGGAGTCACGTCTTGCAAGCCGATTGCAAGGAATTATTCGATGCGTGGATTTCTGCTTTGCAAAAAGGCATTGGTGCTGCAATTCAAAGGTTTCATGGTGATATTAATACTAATGATGACAATCGGCGCGATTCGGGTACTAGTACTGCTTCCACTTCGAGCGGCAATGATTCGCAAGCGATTAATAGAGGCAACAATAATAAAAATAGCAAGTGAGTTTCATAAATTCGACGCTTAAAAATGGAGTTGGTTCTTTTTAGATTGTGGTTACAGCTTTTGAAGATTCCCGGAAATAATTTTTGTTGCGATTGTGGTGGTGCTAATCCACGCTGGGCCAGTATTAATCTTGGTATTACGTTGTGTATTGAATGTTCCGGAGTTCATAGAAGTTTAGGTGTACATTACAGTAAAGTGAGATCTCTAACGCTCGACGATTGGGAGCCCGAAAGCATTAAAGTAATGGCAGAGTTGGGGAATACAATTGTGAATAAAATTTATGAGGCGAATGTGCCCATAGATTTCGTACGTGCAACGCCGAGCTGTGTTGGGTTAGTACTTTTTCACTGTCTAGTGAGTCACTTAATGTGCTGTCTTCAATTTTCCGAATAAATATGTTGTGTTATTTGCAACCGTGTACCATTTTGGATGTCATTGTCATTAGTAATGATAGAAAGTTTAATGTTGACCGTTGAATCTATAGACATCTTGTGTCACAGTGTCGCACACCTCCAAAACACCTCGACTGATTTTTATGAAAATAGGTTGTGAAGCATATTTCCTACTGCTAGGTGATTAACCAGGGTGTAGCATCTAAGACCCCTCGAATCATAAGTCCTCTACTATAAAAGATTTTTCTCTGAAACTTTCTTATAGAATGAGTGGTTTTTTTTTGTATCAGTGAAAAATTGTAGTTTTGGCTACCCAGAGGTATAATTTGTTTAGGGGGGTGCCATTTGAAATTTAAAAAAATATGACATTTGGCGAAGGTCAATCAAAAATTTAATTTTTTTGATAAAGTACCTAAAAAAAATTAAGTGACTGTGCAAGAGATCTTAACCTGTGCCTCAGTCCAAAACTTAGCAGTCTGCGTGATTTAGTTTCTCTCAAAAAAAATTTCGAAGAACTGCCAAATTTTGACGAAAAAAGGTTATAAGAGAGAAATCGTTAAAGTTAGTGGTATAACATGCTACATAAAAAAAATAAGTATTTTTTTAAGTAGGTTCCAAATCAGTAATAAAATATGAGGTGTTCCATTGAAAAAAAAGTTTGATATGCTACTGGAATATAGCACGCTCCTGGTGATCAAAAATATTATGGAAATATGGGTACGGTAAATGTGTACAATTTTGCTTTAAGAGTTTTTTCTGTATCTTTTATGGTAAAGAAATTATGATCCTAGGGGTCTTAGGTGCTACACCCTGTATAGCCCATATGGTGAGTGAGGTGGGGTGAGACCGGGATGTATGTGACATTGACTGACAGGCGTTATCAAGTTCATTAGGTGTGTGAGGTGAGGGCCGTCGAAAACGAACATATGTCCCATCCAAGAAAGCGAGATTTCCCAAAGACACTACACAGTTTTTGAGGTCTGCTAGTGTTCAAATAAAATTCACAAAACTGATAGAGAGATATGGTCAATCACATCAATGAAATTTTAGTATGTGGGGAATGAACCATTTGTGGTACCTACGCATTGGGAACCAAAATAACATTAAATTGCTTGAAAACTGTTTTGATCTATTATCTGTGGTATATCCAACCACAGAACAACGCATTATGTTGAAAACTAATTCACAAATTCCAAGAAACGCACCAAAATCTGCATTGAATACTGACATATAATTTGAAAATCATCGCATGATGTCACCTACATCAGCCATAAGCATAACTCCGCCTATATGCGCATATCTTGTATTTATTGTATTATGGACTTTGACAACATTGTAGTTATTCTCACATATAGAAAGCATTGCGATATCTCTGTAACGCTACCATCTGAATGTGAATTTCACTGTAAGACTACATACTACAATTAATTAGGCTCATAACTTCATCATAGTGTTTTCTGCAGTTCTTATTTTTCTATCAAAATCTCTACTGTCAAAATTAATATTACTTTTAAGGTCCAATCCAATATTTCGACAATGTGTCAATGACCATAGCTTTTATTTCATACTGTCCGGTAGATGTTCGATTACACTATCATTTTGAGTCCGGTAGGTGAGTTATTACAGCATCAGAGCCGGTAAGAGTCGCTAAGCAACACTTACCGAACTGTTATTTGTATACATCAAATGTGACATCTTTACACAATTAATTAAAAACCCCAACATAAATTTGGCTGTAATTCTTTATTTCAAACATTAACATTGATTGTAATGAAAGAATTTGTATTGCCCTCAACACTAACGCCTGGGTTATTACTGGATGTCGAGTTAGTAATGTTTGATTCCTTCTGCTGTAGAACTTCAATGAAATTTTCGCCGCCTTGTATCAGTTGTATCATACGGGCAATCTTAACTACTCCTTCTACCGAGTCTTCGATGTATTTTTCTGCCGCCGATGAGCTTTTCCATGCCCCATGACGTTTTAACACCGAAACCCAGGCAAAAAAATCTTAATTCAAAAACTTACTGCATCCAAACCATTGAGTTAGAAAACTAACCAAACAGTATGCCAACATGACGTTTGCCTCTACTTGTTTCGCCCCATGTTCGTTCCTCCATTGGCAAAACACTTAGTACTCTTTTTCATACCTTGCGGCCGACTTCTTAGGAACCAACTTTTCGGTTGCTTCATGAGATTTCGACAGGATTGTATCGGGAACAGTGGAACATCCCACAACGTTTATACGTCCATTTTTTAGTGACAATTCAACTCATGTATAAAAAATCGCATAAGCCGCAGTGAAATTGTCACTTTGACAGCGGCAAAAGTTACCTGCAACTTTTCCAGCGACAAATGCACTAGTGGTTTTTTCACTTATTCATTTTCGAACCAATTATCGCATTATCCTTTCCCATATGACTAGTTTGACGTCTGTCAGTAATTGATTAGTTATGTGAATTTCTTGTTCGTTAAATTGTCCTGCCGAATTACACTCGAGGTTTGTATTTAAACCGAGTAAATTTGTGTTGTTGCAATTCAAATCTGTTGCCTTTTAGCAATTGAACTCGAAAAACTGTCAACCTAAAAATGCTCCACCTGCGGTGTCGCATTTTTATTAGTTGACAGTTTTTCTCGTCTAATTGCTAGGCAACAGATTTTCATTACCTAAACAACCCAAATTTACTCGGTAAAATACAAACCTCTTGTGCAATTATAAGTGACAATTCAACTCATGTATAAAAAATCGCATAAGCCGCAGTGCAATTGTCACTTTGACAGCGGCAAAAGTTACCTGCAACTTTTCCAGCGACAAATGCACTAGTGGTTTTTTCACTTATTCATTTTCGAACCAATTATCGCATTATCCTTTCCCATATGACTAGTTTGACGTCTGTCAATAATTGATTAGTTTGGTGAATTTCTTGTTCGTTAAATTGTCCTGCCGAATTACACTCGAGGTTTGTATTTAAACCGAGTAAATTTGGGTTGTGGCAATTCAAATCTGTTTCCTTTTAGCAATTGAACTCGAAAAACTGTCAACCTAAAAATGCTCCACCTGCGGTGTCGCATTTTTATTAGTTGACAGTTTTTCTCGTCTAATTGCTAGGCAACAGATTTTCATTACCTAAACAACCCAAATTTACTCGGTAAAATACAAACCTCTTGTGCAATTATAAGTGAAAAAATTCAATGTCAGCAAACTATAGCAACGGCCATTGCCACAGAAACAAGGTAATGCGATTTTTACAATATAATAAAATTTTGTAATCTTTGAAATGAAATAATGATGCAAAACGGACTTACAGTATGAAATAAAATACGTTAAGATATACGTCCGGTAGTACAAGTAACCTACCGGACTTATAACGTAAATAACTATTACTTTGACGGACATTTGAATTTCTTTTAAATAAACTTTTGACGTTAAAAAGTTAACACAATATCGACGTTGGTACACTACAATCTGTAAATGCGTACAGTGAACTGGCCGGCTAGAGGGACAAATGCATAACTACAAGAAGTAGCAATAATACAACGCGATTAAATTACAACGTTTATAAATACCTTTAGTGCTCGTGCACCTAGAGTTCTAGATGCGCTTTCAAGGTTGCGGCTTTCAAGTAGAATAGAATGGAAATCCATCCTCCAGCTCTACTCTGCACGGACCGACTATAGACTTCTCACTGATTGTTTCTTGATTGTGGAATTGAACTTGACCCTCCAGATGTACGTTGCACGGACTGCCCACAGAATTCTCTTGCCACCCAATGTACTGATTGGTTGATGGTTGTGCTGCACTGTGTAAGTGTGCCACACTATGCGTTTTTGCCGCTCCCGCTAAAACGCTCCTGTTTGACGGGATGATGATATCACACATTATTAAATGGTACCAGTCAGATATATGCGGTTTCGCCGCACCAAAAAGATGCAACCGCATCATATGCTGTCAAACCGCATCCGTTTTAGCAGGAGCGGTAAAAACGCACAGTGTGACACCACACTAACGCCGCTTAACGAATTTATATTTTCACTCATTTGTAGGTACCGCCTTTTATCTGTCGGCCTCATAAGCGCTTTATATTATAACGACGAATCGTTTAAATATCTCCTTCACGCTAGCATAAGCTTTTTGTCATTTAACGTCGGTAACGCGTAGACGTTTTTAACAAACTCTTCCTCGCTTTCATCCTACTTACAATGACCCGCCTCATTTATCTCATCCTGAATATACGTACACATAACAGTATGTATTATCTTATTCTAATTACGTTGAAATAAAATTGCACTTCTAACCGTGGTTATTACTTTATATTGCTAATTTCCTTTTAGCATCCTTACAGTTAAATACCAACTTAATAAATGAAGCAATTTATTTCCTTGCAATGCTAACACACACAATCTCTCACACAAAGTTATCTTTGCGTATCTCTTTACATTATGCATTCCTACTAAATTGTACAATTTTCCCTGCATACGGAATTCTAGTTACAGTCGTTATGACATCCGTAACTTTGTTTTGTCTCATAATACAAAATAATACCAATAGGCTTTTAATTACGCAATTGAATTAATGTTTCCATAGGGGAAAGGATTCTAAGAGGTTTCTAAGAAGACTGCATACCAATTTTAAGATCCTAACATGATTTTTAGATCATATTAAGAGTTCTGAAAGTCCTGAATATTCAAATGGTTCTAACGGTTCTACGAAAACTATACGGGCTTTAGATCCTACCAATATTTTCTAATACAACTTCAAGATTGTAAGAAGGCTCTACAGCGAACGTTCTTTGTAGGAAATTGAATGAGCTTTCATTTTGTAAATAATAGTGGTAATGAAAAAGTTGTTTTCGAGATATTGAGGAAAAACCAAAAAAGGAACATAAAATTCAAAATGGCCGCATGTTGCGCACCAATCGTTACACATGTACTTTGATCAGTATATGCATTTTCCTTTGTACATTTTGACTCAGGAATTAGACCATTTTCTGTTTACCATTACAGAATTCTTTTTTCTAATTTGGTTTATACATTAGTTTGACCTCGAGTTTGACGTTTGTTAAGAACTATGCAGGGTGGTGACTTGCGTAACGCATCATAGGGATTTCAACGTAAAATTCATAACATGCGATTATTGGCTCCCCAAATTATTTTAGAGCAAAAATGTATTAAGGTTTTTTGTAGAAAAAATTTTTTTACGTCAATCTACCGTATTAGTTTTCAATTGTTTGCATAATAAAGACGGAAAATTGGAAAAATAAAACCCCCATCTTTTTCAATAATCTGTGATGCCATGGAATTTTATAATACAAAAACTACGCCAATATCCGTCATGCCATGGAATGTCTGCTATAAAACAAATCAAATTCTATCAAAAAAGTATTATATTTAGAACAGCGAATTCAACATAAAGAAAGACCAAATTACTAAAAACGGTTTCCTAATATAACAATTTACAATAAATGTTCGAATAAGTCACCATTAACTCCAACAGTAACCAACTCGATCATAAAATCCATTTCGAACTGCTGCTACTTGATAACTGGATATCTTTTTGTTTTAGAAAATTCCATGGCATCGCAGATTATTGAAAAAGATGCGGGTTTTATTTTTCCAATTTTCCGTCTTTATAGGTATGCAAAAAATTGAAAACTAATACGGTTAATTGGCGTAAAAAAATTTTTCCTACAAAAAACTTTAATACATTTTTGATCTAAAATAATTTGGGGAGCCAATAATCACATGTTATGAATTTTACATTGAAATCCATATGATGCGTTACGCAAGAGCAGGAGGTTTGTGCACATGCTCACAATATAATCCAAAATGGTATACAGTGCAATTGTAAGCATCCAAATACTGGGACTTTTTCCTTACGAAAGCTAAATATGTATAAACGTTTAATTTAAATATAATTGTTTGAACGGTCCGATTTCAGGTTTAAAAATTAAAGAGACCACACATGCAGGGGACTCACTGTTCGCATTAAATTGTCAACCCAATAATTTAACGCTTGTGTTTAGTTCGGTGCGAGAGATGTGGATAAAGGCGAAATATGTCGAGAAATGTTTTATAAAGAAATTACCACAGTTTTCGAATTCTCCGCAGAGATCGTCTCGGCTCAGCCTCTCGAAGGTGAAAAAGTGGAGCGTTCGTAAGCTTCGCAGGCGACCTAAAAGTTGCGATAATAAAAAGGCGAATAGGATAACGAGCGATAAGTCGGATGATTCGCAAGTAGATAGCGAGAAGAGTGGGGATCCGGATAATGAGTCGAATGTATTATTATTCGGTGGCGATTTAGATAAGCAGGTTTTAGATAGCTCATTTAGTTTGAGTAGTGATCAGGAATCGACAGGAGGTGAAGACAACGAAGTGTTAGGTATTTTTACTACTTAAGTGTGTTGTTATTAACATCATTATTACAGCTGAAGAAGATATTTCTAAACTTCATCCCAACCTTTTATTGTATAAAGCTGCCGCCGCCCACAACTTACCAGTCATGTGCGAGGCGTTTGCTTTAGGTGCTGATAAATGTTGGACAAATTTAGATGATAAAAATCGCACAGCTTTACATCAAGCAGTACTTAGTGTAAGATCTATTTCACCTGTTGTTCAATTCTAATGCTCTTTGCAGGGTTCGGTTATGTCTTGTGCATATTTACTTTTAAATGGGGCAAAAATTAATATGCAGGATAACAATGGAAAAACGCCATTGCATCTTGCCACACATGGTGCTCACACTGCTCAAATTTGTTTACTGTTGAAGTATCGTGCCAATCAACATTTAGAAGATGACGAAGGTAAAGTTCCACTCTCAATTGCAGAGCAAATGGAACATGCTGATATTGTTACGCTGTAAGTATTTAAAAGGGGAAATAACTTAATCTTAAAATTTAGGTTAAGCTAGATAAGGGTGAAATTTGTACCCTTCAGGTCGCATAATTTTCTCCGACGCTTTCAGATCTATTGATGTGTCAGTGCAGATTTCTATAATTGGTTTTGAGGTGTGCTGTGTAACCATCATGTGTTCAAGTTCCACTGAACTAGTAGTAAGTGTAAAGTTACTTGTGCCAGTACAGAATGAAAATTGGCAACGCAGCACAGTATAATCTCAAAATCGTCTGTGGAAATGTGTACTTATAACATATTTGTAGAGCGTTTAATCTTTATAATTACACTTTTACAATTAGCAGTAGCGTCTTCTTTCCAAGTGAAATGCATAAATAGTAATTCGTTTATAGGTTGAGATTGGGAAGGTTAAATGAAGAAATGAAGGACGCGGATGTTGGTGTAACTAACGACGAAATGTTCAACGACGTAGTTCGCGATTTTTCCCAACTGGCATATTGCCACCCAGAACGGTTGGTGCGTCCGAGGCACGACTCTTAGAATGACTGTGTATAGATAATATAAAAGAAAAAGTATTAGTCTAAGTATTGCTTAAGTGCTTTGATCATTATACAAGTGGCCTAAGCGATTATGATAAAATTTGTGTGTAAACATTTTACATTTTTATAATATCGAATCTCTTCATTACTTCTTCGTAGTAGGAATAAGGTGTATTGTGTATCTGTATAAGATTTAAGGAAAATTTGTTTTTATTATTTCCTTTTTTATAATTGTTACCACTTTGTACTGTTGATTTAATTACATTTTATTGAACGAACATGTATTTTCGTTTTTTTAAATGTATAACCACCTAGCAGAGCCATAGTTTTTTTCTTTAAAGGATGCCGCCTGAAAATTTGTTCAAGTGTCCAAAAAGGGCCTATAATCAGCCTATAATTCTGATGTATTTCGTCCTTCATTTTTCTAAAATGGCTCTGCTGGCTTGTGGGACCTTTCTTTCTGTCCTCTTATCAAAGTACGGGGCGGAGGGGGAGTGGAACTAGTTTTATCCTTCATGGTACTCTAATGAAAGGTCTCAACGAAAGGAATTAATTTCTACCAACCATAGCCCTTCTCCTCGACCTCTTACCGTGGTCGGGTATATTCCCTTATACCTCAAGAACGGATTGTCGGAAGAGGGTATTCACAAAGGTCGATTGAGACGTCTCCAAGAAATATATCCATTGGTGATGTCAAAACAAAAGGTATTTCGGTTAAAAAAAATGCGCTATCTCACAATTTATACTTGTTTATAATTTAATTCATGAGCAAAACATCCAAATTTGATTTTGTTGGTACCATTATCTGTACAGAATTTTATGACCTTTAAGATGATGTGCACTCGATTGCGGAGGTGCACATTATTATTAGTGGGAGGACCTGAGGGGCTGAATGCTAAAAGCTAAAACTAAGTTAAACCTTGTGCATAATCTAGCTATGTAAATGGACGTGATGTTGCAATTTTGTTTTTTTAATCAATACAAATCACAATCAGTAGTTTGTTTTGGAATGAAAGGCATATAGAAAGGGGTAGATACAGGGCTCCGTTCCACGTCATAGTTGCTCAATATCTGCCAAATTCGCATGAAAGATGCATGAACAATCTACCGACATGCCTGCAGTTGGTGTAAGTTTTGTTGCCTATCCTATAAAGTGATTTATTAAATTATAATTACCACGGTCCGGGATAATTACGACCTTTAAATGTAAACATCAACACTTTTCATTAATAGTTGCGATGTAAACAGATTATCTAAACTTCTAAACAGAATTACTATTTTATTTCATCTTTGTTACTTTTGAACACTGTTATTGAATAAGCAGCTATTAAATTTAATTATTCAAATTACCTATCTATCCATTTTTGACTTGCATTTTAAATTAGGTACAATAAAAAAATACGGATTTATTTTTCACAAGTTTATAATAATAATAATAATAACATTCAGAATTACGTTGAATTTTGCTCTCTTTCGACACTTTTTTCCAAAGTATATATATTGAGGAGTATGATCGAATTACTTTATGGAGTCATAGCACAGAAGGCGGGGATGACAAAAACGTTTCATCGCGTCAAGACCTTTAATTAGAATTTAGAACTGCTATGAAGGTCAGAAGATGAAGAAGCATCAGTTAATACACAACTCCCTCTGCTATCACTTCATCATTAGTGAGCGTCATTTTTTCAAAATTGGTACCTTCTCATATACAAATCTAAAAATGAAGTTATAGATCCAATATTTCAGTTGTAGGTATTTAACGTTAGGTATATTGTAGAATGAACATTTCCATTTGCATAAATAAAAGTATTTCTTGTAAAACCTCAACTTTATTTTTGTGGGTCCCTTTCGAAACTGAATAGCGCAGTAGAACGATAAGTTTTTACTCCACTTCCTAGATCTTCGTTTTGACGTGTTTCCAGGGACTGCATCAGAGCTCCAAGCTAACACATTTTTAAAAATACAAAAATTAAAGCGCATATATTATGTACTTCTTAAATTCTATGTTGTATTGACTTGAGGTATTTACAAACTTAATTGGCTAAAGGTAGGTTCTAGTCTTCACTCTACGGCCTACAATATTGCAATACACATCTAGTAAACAACTACGAACTAATACTGTTATGATTTTCTTCGGTTAGTAGGTATAAAAACAATAAATTAGACCTATACTACATGTTTACAATAATAATAAGTACTGGCTACCATTGCAACAAATTCTTTCAAATTTTTGTAAGGTATAAAAAATTTCCTAAGTTATAAAAAATATTAATCTTAATAGTTGTTCTTTGTGCTGTTAGCTTTATCAACTTTAATAGGTACTTTACACTTGTAGATAAATGCCGCCGTTGATATATCATCGTCCACTCGAATGCACGATGTGTCTTTGGGACACGTGCAGCTGCAACAAAAGAGTAACTTAGAATTGCGCTCTTCATCAATAATAATTCATTTGCAACTTTGGACTTGGGCATTAAAAAAAATCGAGCCAAAATGTTTGTTGGAGACAGCAATTAACCTGTCTTCCAGATTGTAACAAAAATTGTTTGCACTTGGAGCACAAATCTTGGCTGTGTAATAGGTTATCCCGAAATAGTACGCGTTTTGTTTAGGAGTCAGAGGTGCACATTTTTAATTTCCATATTATCGATTGGAGACGAAAAATTAAAAAAAAGTTTCCCTGTCCTGATATAATTGCGCATACTAACTACGCGAGAGGAAGTACACGTGCCCTTTTTCTGATACATTCGATTATTGTTCGGCCAGTTGCATTTAAGATTTTCTTTGTGTGGATGCACCATAGCCCAAACCAAAACCAATGAGAGACCGACTGTGAGATGTCTCCCAAGTGTTCTAAATACAAGATACTCTCAGCTCTCAGTAGTATGAAAATGGGCGTTACTATGCACGACAATTACGCTTTTAATTGGTCTCTGATGAACGTGCAAGGGGCCTTTTAGATTCTTTTCGACACCGAATGAAATAAATTAACAAATCAAATCGAATTTGCTAAATCACATCCAGATGTGTTATTGATCTATGATAATTTCTAAAGGTGCATATTCATAACCACAAAACCAGCACAAGCATTTCAGTTTAAATTTTTGAATTCTGGATAAGGTGGTTTGTTTGTCCTTTCAACTCCCAATTCTTCGCGCGCTTCATTAATCTTTACGCGTCATTAATCTTTATGCGTCATTAATCTTACACGCAATCGTGATTTAAATTTCACGCAAGAAAAACGGTGGCATGGTTTAATAGTCTTCGTGGTCATTATGTTAGTACCTGCGTTGGTCAGCAACCGGCATCTTAATGGAAAATACATTCTTTTTACATAAAAAAACCACATAACGACTGTTGTCGTTGCTAGCACGAATGCCATTATTGGTTAACAACATAATAGAGAAAACCTTTTTTTATGGATAGTATTTTCGATCAGTTACAAGTTACTTCAAGCAAAAATTTTGCTTCAAGTAATGAGATGCAAAATTCTTTGCAGGATACTTACTTATTTTTCATAAAGTAATTGACTAAGCGCGAGAATCTGTTGTAAACTCCCCATCCGCAGGGTGTATTCTTTTTGCAAATTTCTATATCACCATCAGCCGACCTCTGTAACAATACAAAAGCACAAATAAGTTTAAAGGGCAACTAACGGGCGATCAAAAATGAGTGGCGGTCGAGCCTTCTTTGGAAGTTCAAGTTAAGTACGATTTCCCATATAAACAAAAATTGCAAAGGTGACTCGACAGCAACTCATTTTTGATAGCATAGTATTTCTTTTATGTGATTAATTTAATATCTGTAAATTGCAAATTAATGACAGTTAAGGTACCAATAAATTGGTCTCACATGGTCAGTAAAAACATGTTCCTAAATTTATATTGTAAGGCTACAGTTTGTAAGTACCTTTTTCATGGCTTATGTAATATTTTCCAACTTGTCTTCATAATTGTGATCCATTAAATGTTCATACAGAAGATGCGTGTTAATACAAAGTAAAGGTGTAGGCGATGTGAGACACATAGGACTTACTTTGAATTGAACTATAATAGCACTCATAGCTTTTCTATAATTTTCTGATAACAGTTTCAATGATAAGAAATTTATATTTTTGTTACCCTCCACGCGTTACCTTTTGTTCTCCATCTGACATTCAAGTTTAAAAAATAAGTCATTCTGTAGGCAACACCCCACTCTCTGTTCAGGGGTAGCTTAAAATATTAAAAATGGTGTTCTTTTGCCTTAGCAACCAAATACAAACAACAACAACTACATATTTTACATAAATCCGTCGGTCGTTAGCTAAGTAAATACCTACTACAATGCGAAAAAATTACACCCCCATCAGGGTGAGGTAGGTATTGTTTCCCTAGGGCAACTATATCTAAAAGTGATTATTTTCACTTGTTTGATCAAATGTGGTTCATTTTATTCTCAATGATTTTATATCACAGTTTGAAGTAGAGGGCCTTAGATATAATAGCGCCATTAAATTACACTCCTTGCTTGAGATTAAGAAATTTAAGGATTGGGCGAGTAATACATAGTACACCAACAGATTCGTCTCATCTAGACCTTTTGTTTTCCATTTTAGGGTACCTTCTTCCGGTACTCCGTTTTTGAGATATTCGACGATTCGTCTCGTTCAAACCTTTATTTACCCGCTTAAGAGTAGCTACTCACTTCCGACGCTAGGTTTTCGAGGTATTCAAATATGAAACTTTGACGATATGGCCGATTCGTATCGTCCAGACCTTCTATTTTCCCGTGAGAGCACACTCCATTTTCAAGATATTCGAATTTAAAGTTTTAATTCCACCGACAAATATGTCGCATTTATATTTTCAATTTCCCTTTGAGGATACCCTCTTCCGATTTTTTTACCACTTATCTATAAAATGGATCCATGGACGTTAGAATAAAGTCATATAAATGTCATCTATAATTAGCAGCTTATAATACATCCGTGCATAGGTTAAATATTAATATTAATGCATTAGCGTAAACATACTTTGTATAAAAACGGAGGTATATCTTTCAAATTCGATAACAAATACGTAAAAAGGTTTTCTCCCTAAGGCGAGTAACTTTAGCGCATTTTCCATGCATTTATCAGTACGTTCCAAAATGCTTAATGAAAAAAGTTAAAATTTCAAAAAATATCTCCAAATAAGAAAGTTGGCATTGCGAAGTCTTGCGCACGTCTGATTTTTACTAGATATATGCGATATGTTTGCTTTTAGTAGAAGTATCTGTGGTTAAAATTTCAACAAAGTATATAATAATAAATAATAAATAATAATACCTAATCTTTATTCCAAGAAACAAAACTGCAAACACAACAAAAAAGTAAAAATTATATAAAGTATAAAGGCAGTGCGAAAATAAACGAAAAGTTAGCTTAAAGATAATCTATAGTAGGTGAATAATACTACACCAGTAAGAGTAATGAGAATAGAATTACTCTAAACACTGGGATGATAAGCAAATCCAAGATCATGCTACAAACGCCATACACACATACAGAAATCTAAATAGGGATCAACAGATATAACTATATAAATTTAATGAACATATTTTCAGCTAGATAAAATGTACGCAACGTATCGCTAGTGAAGCTTTGGTGTAAATGAAGATGTATAATATAAACCAAGCAGAATTAATCCAATTGTAGAATTAACTTAAAATAAGATACATGTTTTCCAACACAGTAGTCGTTTTAGTAAATAAAAGTTCCTTAGCTCTTTTCTTGAACACCCGAACTGATAGTTCAAATATACTTTGAGAGTAATGGTTAAAAAAATAATTACAAAATTTTGGACCAACAAACAAGAATGTTTTTTGAAAAAACGATTTAGTGACTTGAGGTAGATGCAGCAGTTTCTTAGAATATTGTCGAGTATTGTGAATTATATATGAATAAATAAGAAAAAAGTTGATATTGCGCAACTTGGGCATGCATGCGCACATTATAATACAAGAAGAACTAAACTTTGGAGAGTATCTATCAGAAGATCTGAAGTAACGTGAATAAAATATTACATTACTGGAAAGAGAGAAAAAAATGAATGGAGAAAGAAATGAAGTTTGAAGTATTTACCATGAAGTATTGAGTAATAAAGAATACGGCAAGTGCCAGTAGGTATAGATGGAGGTGGGTGTGGGAAAGTAGAAGAAATTATGCTGGATGAATAATGACAGAGTCGTTTCCATTTCCATTTTGCCGTGAGAGCACCTCTTTTGAACATTTTCAAGATATTCCAATTTGAAGTTTTAACTCCACCGACAAATATGTCGCATTTATATTTTCCATTTTCGCTTTGAGGACCTTTTTATCATTTATCTATAAAAGGGGCCCATGGACGTTAGAATAAAGTCATATAAATGTTATCTATAATTGGCAGCTTATAATACATCCGTGCATAGGTCAAATATTAATATTAATTAAGCATAAACATACCTACTTTGTAAAAACGGAGGTACCTAGGTATATCTTTCAAATTCGATAGCAAATACGAGTAAAAAGATTTTCGCCCTAATGGCGACTAGATGGAGATTTTGTTGTTTTGTGAGGACGCCTTTATGCGCGTGTTTTTTGTCACCTGTCGTGGCCACTGAACTAACTATAGGCACATACGAAACAAATGGTGCACGCACGCCACACGACATGTTCTCTATAGGCGCCAAATTTTAGTGGTTATGCGACTTTTAAGACCCTTTCGTTCATGATAATTGCTTTTATTAGTATACCAACATAAATACATTATATTTCAGGACTCAAAATATAAGCTTAAGAAAAACTCTGAAACTCTCAAAAGCAACGTTCAGTCTTCAACCAAAGACGAGGGGGATAGTCTTTGGTTCAACTCTCATAAGATTCCGTTCATTTGTCTCCAAATTGGACATTTAAAAGAAACAATAAACATATGCGTTGCTAATTGGAATTGATTTAATGTTGATCAAAAGACTTAGATTCGCAAAAATTTTCAAATGATGCATGGCTATGCGCCCCGGAGGAATTTCAATGGGAAAGACAGCTGGTGAGCGACGAGGAAGTACTGGAAAGCGCTTTGCTAAGAGACGGCATGGAAAGAACTGTGGCCGGAAGGGAGGTAGCAGTGAAGAACGGACCATCAGATCGAACGGAGTGGAAGAATAACCCAAGTATCTGCGATACAGAGAACTGATGAAAATGATACGATTTTGGCAAATGGATTCAGCAAAAACATTCAATTAGGTACGGATTTTGTTGGCAAAAGTGATTCCTTCCGTACCAAACGTAAAAACTGACTTCCACCCACAACGAAATATATGGCATACTTTGTTGGTACAACAGTGATTGATGATTTCAAACTAAGCCCATTTTCTTTAGATGTCCTTATTACAATTATGTTTGATTGCATTTGTAAAATAATTTACTGGTTTTTATATTTTAAGTTTTTGGAGCACCCCGACCAAGGCGATATTGTACCTATACGCTTTGTGAAAAAAGCTCTGAAGGCTTTTCTGTTTTTTGAGTTCACGTCCTAATGCAGGTTATGGTAGGTACCTACTTTTCGTAGCATGCACGCATTATTGAATGAAGAAATACTAATTTTAACAGATGGATAACCCTGGTTAGTCACATCTTATTATAGAAGCGCAGACTCGCCGAAAATTAGTAAACCAAAAAATGAGATTCTTACATATTGTACAAATCAAATTAATCACGTATTGCGAACTTTGGTTTTTAATTTACTGATAATCTTGAATTTATTAGTATTAAAATTACACTAACTATCCCAAGATAACCTCCTCGTTTATCTTATAGTAGCTTGAACAAACTTCAATGAATTTTCTCATATTAAAAAATACATTAAATAATAAACCTTACAAATTACTATCTTAATAGTATGAGAGATGTAGGATACTACGCCTATACCAATTAATAATAATTTGTTTTGTTCTCGGTAGAATTTTCCTATGTAAGCATTGCACAATGGACCCATGATTTTTTTTCAAAGAAGTTCGTTGACAAATTTATGAATGAAGTTATGAAATATTAATGTGCGTCATTCATAATTATTGAGTAGTACAAACAACCTTGATATAAAGGAGAGGCCTCAACTAGAGCTAAAATGATAAAATAGATGATAGATATGACGTTCCGGTTATCGAATGACTTTTGGCACTCATGGTGATTTCCATTTTTTTGTTGTAGCAAATGACGCTATTTCATTCTTCTACGCGTTATTTAGGTGCGCGATTTCTAATTGTGGAATTATAGGCGTTTTTCCTGGCATATCTGCGATGTAAATCTTCTAACTCCTGCACACAATTTTTTATCTATCGTTTGCATACCGCGATGAAAAATGTTTTAATTTGTTACTTATTTATACGAATATTTTTTGGCATAAAACTATCGCATACTAGGATTTGCAGATTTCTACCACAAAAAATTTACTTGCGTTTTTTTTTCAAATATCGTAAAAAACGTGGCAAATTTATTACATATTTAATTGTATCTGTTTTTATGTTTTGCACATTCGGCAATTAAAAAAAATTATCAAAGTCCTCGTGTGAGATCGAAGGGACTTCAGCGAATTTTTGTGTGGACGGTCAGTATTCTATTAGGCAGTTTTGACTCCACCATCAATAAGATCCTGTCGGGGGCAACCACATTCCCTTTGTGGGTACCCACTTCTGACGTTCCGTTCACCCGCAATTTGCTTTTCAAGTTTAACCACAGATGTTTCTACTAAAGGCAAGCACATCGCATATTGTAAAAATAAGATGCGCGAATGCGTAAATTGCCAAGCGTTGGAACGCTTATGGAATTTTTAGGAATATTTTTACATTTTTAGAATTCTGGTGAACACATTTTTCTCAGTGGTTCACCCCTCGGATTCTTCGCAACTCATCTGGGATTTTAAAGTATGTGTTGGCAGACTCTTGAGAGGTTCTCCAGAGGTTTTTCCGTAACAGCTTTGCCAGAAATTCTTCATTGTTCATGTTTGAGATTCTTAAATTCTTCACAGACCCTCTCGAGATTCTTACGGATGCATTTGACATTGTTAAAATAATTTTTAGAAAATCTGGAGCAAATACTAAAAACTCTACTGGAATTTTTCCTTCTCTAAAACATTTTTTGTGAAAGGTGTGATTGTCTTTAGAAGGAACGCAACTTGGTTCAATGCGTTAGAAATTCGATAACGACAAAACAGGCACAAGTTCAAATACCGATTAGGGTATGAAATTGTGTTAGAATTATGAAGGGGGGGGGGCGGAGGGGGACACCGAAGATTCGATTTCGGCCTGTAGAGACTCCCATAGAGTTAGTGCAGATTGTATGGTGCAGTAGGTGCAGGAGAAAAAAAGATTGTTGTGGTATGGGCACGTTTTGAGAAGAGATGAAGAGCATATTATGATGGATCTGCAGATAAGTGGAAAGCTGCCCTAAAATACGATGGATACACTGGATACCGAACGAGGAACACGAACTGGCCGAATTGCTAAAGATAAAGAAGAAGATGGAGAATCCACTGCTGAATGTGTAGAAAATCTCTGACAACCTCTAAAAAGTCACACTTGAGTGTTCAAAAATCTTGTCAATGTCAATGTCAATCTCGAAAACGGTTTGTCGGAGGAAAGTACTCACAAAGGCAAAATGAATCGTCTGGACGAGACATACTTATCTATTGATAAAGTCAAAACTTTCAGTGCAAATGTGTGCAGAACTCGGAGGAGGTACTTTCAAAGGGCGGAAAGATCGTCTAGACGAGACAAATCTACTTGCGATGTAAAAACTTACTTGTCAATATCTTGAAAATGTTGAAGAAAGTATACGTACAAAGTAAAATGCAATATTTAGTAGATTTTAAATAGCCGTTTTTAAATGTTTATATGTAAAGAGCCCCATTTATAATCTAACAAGAAAGTAAACATCCATAAATATATCATGCGACTACTATGTAACGTTTCCGTTATCTTTTTAATGTGCCACCACTTCATTATTTTATCATTTCATTATATTTACCATTTTTACTTTTGTGAATGTGTCTTATCTTTACGAAATACTTTTTATTTACACACGCCATTTCTTTAAACAAATACGAGAAACATTATATTGAACGATCGTCGACTGTTTTATGAAATTTTCGGTTTCAGAGATAGATAGGCTGCTGAATTTGAATTTTCCCCAAGTGCTCAAGGAATTTCAGCTTCACATTTTTTCTCAACGCCTCTTTTATTTTAGTAATAAACTCCTTTTTCGCTACCCAAAATAGTGCAGAAAATTTTAAAAATTAAAACGAGACAGATATGCTTTCATTTTTTCATTTATGCGCAGGTGATCATAAAAGGAGATGTTTAGGCAGAGTGGTTAGGTGGAAAATCAGTGATACTAATAGACGAACTGAACTTTTTGGCCCTTGCTCTGTAGTACATTACATGGAAAATCTCGTAACGTATCTTTTTATCTATACAAACATAACTACGCTTTTGGGTATGTTCCCCACGTGGTGCACCCAACAAAATTTGGTTAATTGCGATTTTCCATGCCCATAAATGTGATTGAATTTATATCAATTTCGCTATCACAAGTACGGAAATTGGTAGGGGGTGAACATTTTTTCGTAAAGTAGGGTTGGGGGCAAGACAAAGTGGAATGGTGGGGTAAATTGACATGTGGGAAATTATCAACTGGCGCCATCAACTAGTTTTGTTGCCAATTGTTACATTAGCAGATTTCTGTATTGTAGATACTGTTCACAGACTTAGGAGTGTGAAACGAAAATGTAGAAAAGCGATTTTCGACGAGTTTGACGTAATAATGGTTGGTATATGTGCAGTGTTAGTTTTCTGATAGTTGCATTTTAGGTAAATGTTTATACGTGTATCCACCATATTCTGTGAAAGAACAAGAGAGTTAGCTCTGAAATCTTTTGGCGGTTTTTTTTAACTTGTGCAGTATTGGAGTAAAGTGGAATGTTATTATGGGGGTAAAGTGGAATACTATACCACTTTACCCTCGTGGCATTTCAGTTTCACATAAGAAACTCACTAGTCACTAGGTATGTTATCAATAATAAGAGTATTTGTTTTTAGATTGAAAACAATACGTATTTATGGAAGACTATTTCTCGTCTCGTATAAAAATAGTCACGTCAATCATCACACGTAGCGGCCCACTGCAAAACTGGGTGCCCATGCGAAGAAAAAAGACATATGGCACCCTCCATCAAAATAAAGCTACTAGAAATTTTGGAATTCTGATAGCTTCTTTCAAGGTGGAAAAAGTTGTGCAAGAAACCCTAAAGAAGAAGCTGGGCAGATTGAATACAATTTTTACTACTGAAAAGAACGTCTAAAGATCAAAGCTGCAAAAGCAGATATAGTATCATTTGCAAGGAGAAAGTAAATAGCATCTCCGTCCGAGCGGCCGGAGGGGCGTGGACCCTGAACGGGACCCTCGTGGAACCGCGAAACGGAGCCTCCGCCGCGGTGCCCCGCTAAGCACTAACCCAGCTAACCCGAGGCTCCGTCATGTGGAGTAGCGTGCCGATCCAAGCGTGCGGCGTACGTGTGCAATACTGTTCAGCAAGTTGTTTGAGATACAATTAAAAAAATCTGCAAATTCCTTGTCTTCTTTTTCATAGGAAGGGGGGGTCCATTAGTTTGGGGGCCTTTTGGTCATGGAGCGCCCGGGGCCCTTACCCACCCAGTCCGGCCCTGGATTTGAGAAGGACAGAGCATCTCAATATATTGAAAATTTATTAGCAGGCCTCGGACTGTTTGATACGAAGGCTTGGAAGGGCCATAAGTATTTTATTTTATAATTCGTGATAGGGCCATAACTGCTGCTGCTCGGGGTGCTGCTAGGTTCTGTTGAAACCCTTTTTACATATGTTGGTTCTTTGTATGACCCATATGCATTTTCTCCCAGTGAGATTTATACCTCTGATGAGACTGCTATTATTACAGTCCCCAATAAGCCTACAAAAAATAAACCTCTCGCCAGGAAAGATTGCCGGTCATAGAACACTTGATCCCGATCTACAATCTATGTTTTTCTAAAGATGTGAGCGACTTCCGGGATAGTATCGTGTCGATGTTGAACAAAAAGACTTTTCGCTCAACATTGGCACGATCCTATTCCGGAAGTCGCTCGCATCTTAAGAAAAACATAGATTGTAGATCGACACAAGGTGTGCTGTGACCGGCAATCTTCCCTGGCGAGAGTTATATAAAGAGAAAAAAGGAATTGCAAGTTTTAGTTTTGGTGAAAGGGGCCAACCACAGTTTCTAATATATACACATCCAACTGAAGGAAATTGGGTATAATCCACGTTAAAAATTTACCTATAAATGATAATTCAAGGGAAAATCATGTACACTTTAAGGCGATTATGTTCCTTTTGAATGATTTTCATACTCAACAATTGAAAAACCGGGAACGTAATAAATTCATAAAAATTATCGCATTATATGCTATCGGACAAATTATTGGAAATGCTTACTTTAAGTGTATTTTTCTGTACGTCCATCTATTTACAGAGATTGATTTTGCTCTTGCAGAACGTACAAAAACTCTAGCGTTCGTGACACAAAAGCTGACTTTTCTTACACTTTACCATCTAGAAAAATCCCAGAATTAGTCAGAAATATACAAATTCTTTCTACTTTGCCTTTGCCAAAGCAAAGCAATCGGTCAAAGGGTCATCATCGCGGTACCCCGTTAGGTGGAGTAAAATGGGATAAATGCATTTCAAACTGAGACCATCCAAATGTCGGCAGTGAACTGGCAACTTGTGGAAATTGTAATTTGGTTGTTGAGGAACACGGTTTTTGCAGCTGCTGCCCTGGGCTGAAATGGCGCCAACTATTTAAAAAAAGATGGCCAATCGCTGTAGTTAACAATAACAAATTCTTTTAGTTCACTCATCTTAAAGTCTCCCAGAGATGTAATAAGAAGAGAATTTCATTAAAAGTTTATAGACGATAATAAAAATAATAACCACTTAATCTACATCATAAAACATTGTATAGGTAGGGAATGTAGGGGAATCTAGTAATTTATAACTCAAGGGAGAGATCACCTTGAGCTTGTATACTGAAAAGTATAAAGGCATAGGTAAGTTATTGTAAAATTTAAATTTTTTTATTAGCGGAATTTATTCATTGGCGTCGTAAAGTGTTGCCATTGAAAGGTGTAATTTGATCGTAACAATCGATTTGCGGTAGAGAAAAAAAAACGATGCTCGCCGACAATGTCGCGGTCGATTATTAACAAATTTAATGAGTGGAAGATAATCGCTACCTACTTGACAATATGTATTGCTGAAGAGGATGTCTGCGTTCATTTCGTTACATTGTATTATACATTTTGCATCACATCTACATGAATTTTAATTTCGGGGGATGATTGCATTGCCCAATTAGTTTTTCTCTGCCTTTGCTAAACCATTTTCTTATTCAACAACGTATGGAAATTTTCATCCCTCCAATTGAGAACGGAACTGTTTAAATGCATGAATGATAATAATGCAATCACGATTAGGTAGCTCTCTCACGAGATAGTGTCCATGAAGCTGCAATAACGATCTCAACAGGAGCAAGTATGCATAGGAATTTCATTTTTGTTATATCATGCTGCGCTCTCATCTGAAATGAAAACGCTTAACCAAATAGAATAAGGGATGTATTTGCATTACGGACGAATTTGCTTAATTAAAAAAGGAAATTGATTATCATACAGAAAATGAACTAAAACGTGAAAATATCCAGAGCGGGACGCCAATTGTAAGTAAATGCTGTAACCCATTCGCATATATAAGCAAGTAAGTATAAGGGGGTGAAAGAATAGAGTTAAAGAGCCCTTTAATAGGGTAGGCGAGTTTCGGTTTTGCGTAAAATCATTTCGTGAAATTAAAAGAAATATTCCTTTGTATCAGATAGGAGTTTAATGATTATGAATAACTCAATCGAATTTTCCTTTCTGACAAGTTTAGTATTCCATGCGTTCAAATGTCCCACCGAATTGTAAAGGGCTAGTAGTAAACGGCATTATTAATTCCTCATTTTGGTTCAAAATATAGAACCGGTATAGATACTAATTATTTTACTGGGTATTGTGTTTGGCTGGGAGGTATTCCATACCCCCCTCTCCCTTCGAACTGGCACCTGCCTTTAACACTGTCAGCCCTAAGGATATGGAAAACACCCAGTATATACGAACGATTTCATGATAATTGTAGAGAAAGATGATCATCAAATTTTCTTTACTGGGGAGTATTGTGTTTGGATGGGTTGTATTCTATACCCCTAGACCCCCCGAAGCTGCCCCCTTCGTTAAAACTGGCAAATGGCAAAAAAATAATTTTACATGCGTTTAAAAGTCCCTTCCCTAAATCTATATGGCGAGTATTAAAAAGGGCATTTCTCATTTTAGTTAAAAATATAGAATCGGGGAGGGGGGGGGGGATTCTAATACCCCCCAGTATGCGAATGATTTCATGACGATGATTGTAGTGAAAGAGGGTCAACAATTTCTTCCTTACTGGGCAGTACTTATTCGATTATTGTGTTTGTCAACTAACGAAGACCGCGTCGATACTTTTTAACGCACTGCTTTGGATTAGTGGTCGAAGAAATTTGGTTCAATGATGAACATGGCTTGAATACTAGAGCAATGCATTTTCCCATAAAATGAATGTAAATTGTATTCAACATATAAGTAATGCGTTTGGTCACTTTATACGCAAAATGGGTACACAATCATAAGACGTAACTGGGACAATACTTTTTTCTTGTTTTGGGCATTTTTGAATGTGTCGTGCCTAGATTAAAAATGTTGTAGCTACCAAGATGTAAAATAATAAGACATGTATAAACTCTTTAGTATAATCCAGTCGATGCCATGTAAGATAAACGGAAAATTTAGGATTAGTCTATCACACTACCACTTGTGGAGTCTTATGGAGTTTTCTTACCAAAATCACGATCGCGCGCATTTTTTATTTATAAACAGTTGAAGGTATGCATAGGTCCTCGCAGACTTCCTTGTAGTAGATTTAGTGTTTTAGAAAGGTGTTTCTATGCTTTTGTTCTCTCCGAGGTTCTCTCTATTTTGGTTTATCCTAAGTATTGAAATAAATGCGCCCTATTGCGTTTTTAGTAAGAAACGGCAGTATCGGAACATTTTATATATTTTTCAGAAAATCACTGCTTGACTCCACTCGCGGATCTTTACTCAGCACGAATCATCACCAATTTTTTGGCCGTGCCGTCGTGTATTGATCCTGGTTTTTTTGGTCGCTCTCTTTCCTACTTTTTTTTATTATAAAAGATTAAAGATTTAAACTACAGCTCGCGTTAAAGCCTCTATCACACCTGCCGACTACTCGTCCAAATTACTTCGTGATCACATTCCAGCTGGTTAAGGGCGAGACATATTTAAAGAAACAGGGAAAATAATTGACCGATAATGGATAATGTACGAAGAATGCGATAGAACAAACGTGATGACACTGGGCGTGTAGGACGACGAGTGGCTGGGTGGTGGGGGGGTTCCTACTCGGCCGAGAAAATACAACATGGTTCAATTCACTGACTACTGACTCCCCAAAATCACTCGTCCGTCGCTCGGTCGTTTACATTTTGCCTCACTGGGCCGAGTGCGCTGTCTCGGCCGAGTACCTACTCGGCAGGTGTAATTGAGGCTTAATGCAAAGTGTCGCGAAAGTCCGCACATTATCAATGTTGTGGGCAAATCATGATTCATGATTAACTTCCGTAAGCAAAACAAAGTTTGTACAGTGTGAGTGTTTTTAGTGTTACAAGGCGATTTTTCGAAAATGGTTTTAAATACTTGTATGAAATTTTGATCACCAAATAAAGATATGGGGGTCAAATTTAATATGTTTTTTAAAATGTTTCAATCAATCTACATCAAAAACTATATATGTGCTGATATTTTTAGCGCATTCCAACTCATTTTAGAAGATGCTATTATGGTCACTTTCTCCGCCCGTCCGTCCGCCTGAGGCCGCAACTACTTCCACAGTTTTGAAGATATTTAGTTAGTTCTTAGGGCCTTAAGGCGAAAAACTTTTAACTTGTTTTGTTTAATTGCCGCTATGGTTAAGGAGCTATGGTTATTTCTGATATTACAACTTACAACTTAATTACACAGTTTTCTGGTCTGGTATGCTTAAGAAGATGTTCAAAATGTCTTCGTTAAATTTCCAAACACCTTTATAATGCGTTTCCATGGAACTGTGTAATATTATGGTTTAAATTGTTTAAGAATTATGACGTTTGTTAATAATATATGTTTATTACTTAAAACATGGAAGCGACCTTCAAAGTGTAGGCTGGAAAGCAGAAGACGTAATTTGAAGGCGAAACCACGAGTTCGAAGAAGAACCCAATTACCCAAACGAACGAAGACAGGGCAGTTGAAGTCTTAGGAGCGGTAGCTATTAACCCTCATATTGTTTTCAGGACCACATTGCACTCGCACAAGATTCATCCATACATTACTCTTAGCCAAGAACTGTACGGGCAAGACTTTGAAATTTGTAATTGGGTAGCAAGACAAGAACTAACAGGTTCTTGAAACAAGTTATTTTTTCTGACGAAACCACTTTTCATAACTGTGGGCATCAGGTTAAATTTTATGTTATTTATTGTTAGCAAAGCACCCTGGATGAACTTTATAAACTCAAAATCCCTGATCAATCAGCGTCTGGGGTGGCATTATTGGGAATCCAGTAATTGGCCTGCATTTTTTTGAAGAACATTTTAATAGAGAAATGCACACAGATTTTTTAAAGAAATCAATTAGGTCAATTATTGGTCAAAAATATAAATCTTGGCATGTGGTTTTAGCAGGTCGGGGTTCCAGCCCATTATACAATACAAGCCCGTAATTATTTCCATGAAATGTTTGATTCATCGAACAGGTCCAGTCAATTGGCCTGCTCGGTCTCTGGATTTGACCTCCATGGATTTTTTTGTTTTGTGATTCCTAAAAGATAAGATACCTACAGCTGTTGATGACATGAAATACCGAATACGTTCTGTCTGGAAGACATTTTGAACATCTTTTTTAGCCATAACAGACGTTTGAAAATGTGTTTAAAATGGTAAGTTTTTTTATTGTAATATCTAAAATACGCCTAGCTCCGTAACCATGGAAGTAATCAAACAAAAAAATATTAGCGTATACGTAATTTTTAAAAACAAAAGTGCATAATTTTATCTAAAGTGTTAAAGAACCATTTACCATCCCTAAAAATTGAGAAACAAAAAATATTAAAAACCGTTTCCGAGATATCGCCTTGTAACACCGTGTATATCCACCATAGTGCTGTTTTGTGAACTCTGTTAACGCCATTCATCATTGGACAAAAACAATATAGGTAGGGTAAAAATACATTCACGTTTGGGAACGTAGAATTTCAGTTTTTTATTGGAACCAAATTCGTCATTGCTTGATGATTGAGAAATCAAACTTAATGAAAAAAAATATGTACAGGGACCCTTTGGTCCGTTAATTGTAGCCTAGCATGCTTCTGGAATATGGACTACCTCATGGAGCTACTGTAACACTTAAATTTTTATAAAGTTCGATTGTAAATGGACTACTTTTGATGCTTGATATCCCAAATGGCTATGTCGAAATTGTTCTAATTGATGAATAAAGCTTTCAGAAACACGATAAAAATATGAGTGGAATTTTTCGTACGGCTAGACTATTGCATAACTATTTTATCCAGAACGCGGAGCAACGCTGGAAGTGAATATGTAATTAGTGCTGAATTTTTGCCAAACTGGTCACCAAAATCAGAAAACTTGGTTACTCTTCAGGACAGTGCATTTTGTCGTAGTTCCCTATGAAATTGGATGCCGATATTACAAGTTTGCACAAAATGACCAAGACAGAAAGAATACAAAATTTGGGTGCCTTAATTACATAAGTATCTCGACTATTCTCTTGGCGCCCATTACTGTTGGTTGTTTAATGTAGGTGTTCGATTGAGAATTGGAATATGACTTACGAATGGCTCTGCTAAAATAAATGTCGAGAATTGAGGCGCGTCATTAAACTACCCATATAGTTACGAGTTATTTGTGTTATGATTACTATGTTTATTGAATAAATGAATGAGGGTGCAATCTCAACGAATTATAGCTATAATGCGAGTGTGCAATTTTTAAATTGAAGTTCGCCAAAAAGGGCCCACAAGTGCATAGCTGGAGATATCTTCAGATGCAATCAATTCTAAAATGTGTGTGCAGGTTGCGCAAGCTTTGCATTGGCGAAGAGAATTTGGAAAAAAACGACACGTGAATTTATCCGTAATTGTACACTGTAAACCCCGTTCTAGGTACAATTTTGCAATTTTTGTTATTGCTAAACGAATCTGTTTTCTATAAACTGTTAACTGTTACATTACAATGACGCATTTTCCAAACAATTATTGCGCGACAATAGAAATTAATAATTTACACAGAATAGTTAAAAGCGTAGGATTAAGTACGCACAACAGTGTGTACGATAGGTTGCAATGCGTAGGTAAATAGATACCTCAAAAGTAATGTTTGAGTAAATTGCGTCAGATTTAACCGCTGCAGTCGAATTAAATTTCACGTTACGCGTAATTAAGGTAAACAAATCTAAAAACGAAGTTCTCTAAAGGCGAATTGGTAACCCGAAAATCTTCGTTGACGAGGTCAGGGTTATTTACATATCAATTTTTTACAATTATTGCGTACGTCAAAGATTTAATTATAAATGATTGTTTCACTTTAATCAAATTGGGAAATTGAGCGTTGAAAAAACTTACCCTGTTTATAACGGCGGCTCCTAAAGTGTTCACTATAAGAAAGGAAACAATGGTTAAGGCAAAGTACTTCTTGAAGACCATTTTAGTTACAGTCTTTCGCGACTTGTTAAATAGCACTAAATTGAATATTTTTTAAAGCATTCGCTTTCAGCGAACCACGTGTTATTCAACATAAAGCCCGCCGAAGTCCTTTTATATCTACGTACGAGTGCTGAAGAAGAAAAGTTGCGTGCGCACTATACTCTAAATTATTAGAAATATGAAATTCGTTCTATTCTCAAAATTATCTTCTAATTAATAATCTGATGCAAGATAAATTTATTCTAGTCATCCTTTATTTAAGGAGAATCGCGCGCGATTTTCTTCAAGGGCCATAAAATTTCCATACGTGACTTATTAGAAAATTTCATTTTAAAAATGAAACGAAATATAAATTGATGTGGCAAAAAAGGGTAAATGGAATCTGCACGTGTGTGGTCAACCAAAGAAATGTACCTACAATAGAATCGTAAATCACAATGATTTATTATAATCACTAATTTAATTTGATCAGCGTTAAGGGGTTAGGTACCACTGATTATTCATTAGTTACAAATTCTTTTTCACAGTTAGTGAAGTCGTTTCTATGCCACCTACCTATACTTTCATGTACATTTATTACATATAAATTAGTATTGTAGGTACAAATACATGAATGAAAAATTCCTTTACAGCTTATGTAACAAATTCTAAATTAACACATCCGACATTAATAACTATGTGCGTGAACCTCGTAGGCATAGATCACCTAGACCCAAGCCAACAGTTTTATTACATTTTTAATTAGTTTCATACACTTCTAGCGGTACGTTCCATTCATATACCTATACAACAAACTATTCAACTCTAAGCCGTCTTTAGTTTGAACATCAGGTAGGATAATTACACAATTTTACAAATAGGTTGGAATAGGCCTGTTATAATTAAGGCGTTCGAAACACATTATTTCAGTTTAAATGATCGATAATCAACCTTTACCTGTCTTTTTATAGGGCTTTTGTTTGTACAAGTGCGGGCTGTAATTACCCAAAATTATCACAAATTAATGACATATCTTCCCTTTGCCAAACATTACGAATAAACTTTGTCAGCATGGTCAGTGGTCACCAGATCCTCAAGGTTTGCACCAAGTGAGGAAATGTTTGCGTCTTTATGTAAAAATGTTACCGGAACAAAAGATCACCCGTGCACCAACCAACCTATTTGTGGTCGGTATTTGTAGTCTGAGTGATGCAGTGTGCCCTTTCCGATAATCGTGATTGGATTAATCGGGTTTGGTACATTTTACAAAGGTTACAGTTATTGTTCCCTCCACCAACAGAAAGCATTTTTACATATCTAAAACAATAGTCCTAATTATTTGCTAATTTGTAGGCCTACTAAAAAATGTACGTATTGCTCATTAGTAATAGTAAATGAAAAAGAAAGTGCGGTTAACTTAACATTAGCTGAACTCACTAAGAAAACAAAAGCTAAAAAGTACAAGGAAAGGATACATTTGCAAAGATAATACTACAAGTCGCCGTAAATACGAGAACTAGGTATTTCGCGAAGAAGATACAATAATGTCATGAGTTGAGCTCGAATACCTAAAGGGCAGCTGCGGGGATTCAAAACCAAATAAAAATTACTATAATATGTCATAACAGGGACTTGAACAATGCTTCATTTTCTTAAGTCTTTCCTGGAATTTCAGTGATAAACACCTGTTTTAACATTGCGACCTAAGCGTTTTCCGCAAAGTCTAAGTAAAGTGGGTACTTAACGCCAAATCCATTTTGTTTTTACTGCAAATTGTATATCCTAATTTCTGTATTGAATCAAAACACTATTTTTTATTTAATGGGATGACTCAAGCGCTTTTATCATACCAAACCAGGTATTAAAACCAAAAATCTCTTAGTTTCCGGATTATTTAATTATTAAATACCAAAGATTATTCTTGTAGAAAACGAGTTAAAGAACTATTAAGTACTTACAGAAACATGTACCATTGTTTAAATAATGTATTTAAACAATGCATGTACCATTGAATAAAATGACTGTAGGTACGATACTCTCATTTCATTGATAATAACATTGAATGTGGTTAGTTAGCAACAAACTCGGGTATGTATAAATTGTTGCAACCTAGTGTGAAGAACAATTTTATGTAATAATCATTTGATCAATAATATGTTTATAGATATCGAGACATATATTGGGTTATGTAGGTATTGTGGTCATAATAAAGTTAAGTTAAGAACTGACTTGAACAAAATTCCCATATGAGTCTAATCCATTTTTGGGAGATTTTTGGAAATTTCACTTTTGTACACATGCTCAACTTCTCTGTTATAAGAGGTATCGGCTATATAAATTGACGGCGAGATTCACCCTTTCTACCGAAATATATTCTTCTAATTTATGCTCTAATTAACCCACTTTTTTTTAAACTTGACTCCATTATCACCAGCAGTGTAAAAAAAACTTACGTATAAAGGTCGATAAATATTGGAATATATTCGCCGCCATTTTTCATAGTTTATAGCTAGCAACAAATTTGGTTTTATATAAATTCTTGTTGACCTTAGCATATAAAAGGCAAATTCTTCATGCATATTAAGACATCAAAACTTGCACTAGTGAGTGTATTCACGGTTTTTTAAAATTATTTATAATTAGAAATACGGTTACCTATGTAATTGTTGCCCTGTGTAGTGTAAAGAACAAGTTTACGTGGTAGTTATTTGAGCAATAAATTATTATTATTAATATCATAGTGAGTATAGATTCATTTGCCTTATTTTATAATCACCAAGAAATTCTGTTAATACTCGTAATGTACAAATTGTTCTCATCCTCAATTTTACGTAATAATTATGTAATCAATAAAATGTTTATATATGGGAAACCTTTATGCATTTCATTAAAGGAGAAAAACCCATGCTACGCCACTGGAAATGTTTTCGCGCGAAGGGTAGCAATTCAAATTGTACAAGCCTCTCTATTCGTCGCGCCTCGCGCGTAAAAGAGAGTATGGTTTGGTGTCCAGCGAGAAAAAGGACCGTGGCGCAGTTTGTAGCGAGGTAAATGTATCCTTTATTTTTAGCGCATTTCCACAAAAATTAAAAAAAATGCGCTATTGTGGCCACTTTGTCCGTCCGTCCGTCCGTCCGTCCGTCCGTCCGCTAACTTTGCGACGCTACTAGTTCTTTATCTTAAGAGCTATTGTTCTACTTTTTTCGCTATTTGGTTCGTTATGGTGTCGAGTCTTGTACCAAGGAAGGAATTTTTTCTGTACCGCTTACAAAAAAAGTTATTGTAAAAAAAACAAAAAACCGTTTTTTACATGTTCCATAATTTTACACTTTTGCCGTTTATTAACGATCCTAGAGATCGTTTATAATTTTGCATTGCTATCTGTCGCCTGCCGGTTGGTCTGTCCGTCTGTTCCTTTGTCTGTCTGTCCATCTATCTGTCCGTGAGAACGATAACTTTGTTTAAAAATGTTCGATCGCTTTTACATCTCCGTTAGTTATGAACTGAATTGCATGAAATTCAATATGGGCATAGATTTAGCCATATAATACGCAATGCCAAGAGTTGAATCGAATCGATTCAAAATTCACAGTGCCCTTTTCGCATCTCGACCATTTATAAGCTGAATTGCAAACTTGTTTACTTATAAAAGTATTTGAATGAAATTTGATACATAGGCACTTGGAATAAAGGAAAATCAAACGCCAATTTCAAAATTTGGTTTTGCGCATGCGCAGTGCCAATTTTTTTATTTATGGAAGAATTTAAACGAAATTTGATACATAGGCACTTGGAATAAAGGAAAATCAAACGCCAATTTCAAAATTTGGTTTTGCGCATGCGCAGTGCTAACTTTTTTATTTATGGAAGAATTTAAACGAAATTTGATACATAAGCACTTCGAATAAAGGAAAATCAAACGCAAATTTCAAAATTTGGTTTTGCGCATGCGCAGTGCCAACTTTTTTATTTATGGAAGAATTTAAACGAAATTTGATACAGAGGCACTTGGGATAAAGGAAAATCAAACGCCAATTTCAAAATTTGGTTTTGCGCATGCGCAGTGCCAACTTTTTTTATTTATGGAAGAATTTAAACGAAATTTGATACATAGGCACTTGGAATAAAGGAAAATCAAACGCCAATTTCAAAATTTGGTTTTGCGCATGCGCAGTGCCAACTTTTTTATTTATGGAAGAATTTAAACGAAATTTGATACAGAGGCACTTGGGATAAAGGAAAATCAAACGCCAATTTCAAAATTTGGTTTTTTATCTATGGAACTATTTAAGTGAAATTTGATACTTAGGCGCTTGGAACAAAGGAAAATCTAACATTAGTTTTAAAATTTAGGTTTGCGCATGCGCAGTTCCAACTTTCTTATTTAGAAAAGCATTGAAATGAAATTCTTCTCATAAACTGAAATTGAAGTAGCACGTCAACAATGGATTGCCCATGTGCAACGCTATCTTTCATATTTGTGGCCGGATTTTTACGATTTTAACAGAAGTTGCATCTTACAAATGGGAAATGAATGCAAGTGAAAATGCGCTTTATGTAAATCGTTTACGATTACTTTTTAACTTGTTTACTTTGTAATTACTGTAAATAGCATGGTATGTACGGTAATTGTTTGTATTACTTGCTTGTCGATTTATTAGGGTGTTTGCTTTTATAAATATGAATTTGCAAGGCCTTATAAAATATTGTTTGATAAGATAAGAAAACTGTAAGGTAAGGGCCGTATTTAGCTGCAGGTAGCTTCGTTTACCAAAAATGGTCAAGAAATCTTAATTTTCATGCCTACTTTATGTCACGAAAGTTTAGTTTCCATGACAAAGGCAGATCATACTGCTTTTCCTGTCGCCTGTCACTTTACCGGCCGCACCTGTCACACTGCTAAATGTCTGTAATGACTCCTGTCATCACTGATGTTAATGTTCTATATGAAAATTCAAATTTTATATTAAAATACGATTTCGGGTAAAATTTAATACAAAATTCGTCAGTAATGACATTACTTGACTCGGAAGTTAAAGTACTCGGCCCCGAAAGGGCATCGTATTTCAATATTTCCTCGCCAGTAATGTGTCATTTTCCTGACTTTTATGTAAATAACCATTATTT